TTCCGTCCACTTGTTCACTCCCCAAGTGGTCGCAACAGCTGGAGCTGAGCTGATCCAAAGCCAAGAACCAGAAACTTCTTCCAAGTCCCCCACATGGATGCAGGGTCCCAAGGCTTTGGGCAATCTTCAACTGTTTTCTCAGGCCACAAGCAGGGAGCTGGAAGGGAAGTGGAACAGCCGAGACACTAACCGGCACCCAAATGCAATCCTATGAGGACTTTAGCCACTACGCTACTGCGCTGGGCCCACAAAATGACTTCTTGAGTTTTTTTGGATGTCTCCAGTTTATTATTCTGTATCTCTCTCTGATAAGAAAGAAAAAAGCACATCTTGCTACTCTAATATGTACTTCATGATAAATGGAGAATTTTAATGTTCTCTCCTTATCAAATATTGCAACGTGTTTTAGGCATCAACTTTGCTGGTTTCCAAACAAAGAAGTTACTTTAAATGTTAAGCCTCGGGGGTGGACACTTAGCCTGGTCGGCGAGACACCTGTGTCCCACAGTGGGGTACCTGTGTTCAATCCCTGGCTCTGGCTCCTATTCATACAGAATCCGGAATGCAGCCATCACGTCAACTTCGGCCTGGCCCAACTCCAGCTGCTGCAACACTGAGGAGTAAGTCAATGAATAAGAGCCCATGTGCTTTGCCTCTGTCTTTTCTTCTCTGCTTTTCAAATACATACATTTAAAAAAAAAAAAAAACTTATACCCTAACGAAATATTTCCTGCAATAGCATGATCCTGGAAGTTTTCCAGACCTACCCATTTCCCTGTAGAACCAAGTGCAGCAGGAAACACATCGGTAAAAGCCCAGCCACTGTGCCCACGGGGGAAGCAGCTGCCAGTGGGCTCAGGGCTCCCCCACTCCAGGAGCAGATCCCCTGGAAATCATAAGCAGTGATCTCTGCTCCTAGAACTGTGCTTTCTGCATCTTGGTTTGTAACTCCTACTGTTTGTCCACCTAAAATTCTGAAAAACCCTTGACTTACCCCTCACCAGCACCCACGAATCCTCTACCTGTGGCACAGGTGTTTATCCTCCTACCACAACCCAGGGCAGTACTTTTTTCAGCTTCTCCTGCATCTCAGTGATATCTTATGAACTGTTTGTTCTCTCTCTCTCTCTCCTTTTTTAAAAAAGATTTATTTTTTTTAAAAAAAAGATTTACTTTATTTATTTGGCAGAGTAACAGAGAGAGGTGGGGACAGAGAGAGGCTTCTGTTCACCAGTTCACTTCTTCCAGTATGGCTGCCACAACCAGCCAGGCCAATCCTGGAAGCCAGAAGCTTTACCTAGATGTTTCAAATGGATAGCAGGGGCCTAAAAATTTTCAACCGTCTTCCTTTGCTCTCTCAGGTGCATCCGCAGGGAGCTGGATTAGAAGTGGAGCCGCCGCGACATAAACTGGCACACCTATGAAATGTTAGCATGGCAGGTGGTAGCTTCATCTGCTGACACACCAGCCCCAAACTGCTCTGTCTGTCCCATCCCTCTGATCTCAGCTCTTAGCTGACCTCACCAGATTTACTCTGTAGTGTCACTAACTTATTCTGAGAAAGTTGTCATCTGTGCCAGAGATCTTTTGGGAATTATCTCCTTATTTTTCACGCTATCCCTTATTTCAGCCAACTGGTCTACTTCTTTTTTTAAAAAAAAAAAAGATTTATTTTTATTATTTTTTCATTGGAAAGGCGGATATACAGAGAGGAGAGACAGAGAGGAAGATCTTCCGTCCGATGATTCACTCCCCAAGTGAGCGCAACAGGCCGATACTATGCCGATCTGAAGCCAGGAGCCTCTTCCGGGTCTCCCACGCGGGTGCAGGTTCCCAAAGCTTTGGGCTGTCCTGGACTGCTTTCCCGGGCCACAGGCAGAGAGCTGGAAGGGAAGCGGGGCTGCCGGGATTAGAACCGGCGCCCATATAGGATCCCAGGCGTGCAAGGCGAGGACCTTTAACCACTTGCGCCACCGCGCCGGGCCCGAACTGGTCTACTTCTATTCCCAGGATAAATTGCCTTTTCTATCCATGGAATTTTCCCTAGGTTCCTCCATCTATCCAGAAAACATCCTTCCTCCAGCTGCTACTGATTCTTCCAGAAGCAGGTCAAGCACCAGCTGTTCAAGTGACTTTCTTCCCTCTTTTCATATCAACCTCTCAATTGCCATTCAGCAGCATTTACGTCCTGTTAACCTATGTAACCCCAGAGAGATCATTACCTCCTGCCTCAGCATCTAGGGTATATCACGGGTGTGTCCTTGTCACTTCACCTGTGCTATCCAATTTTTCAGAGTCTTCACAGGAGCCCTGTGCAATGGAGAGGATCCCCTCTCCCTTCCCCCAATTTTACAGATCAGGAAGCTGAGACTGTCAGAAGTTAATTAACTTGTTCCAAGTAGCGTTCTTCCTAAATGGCAGAGTCATCGGTCATTCAAAAAAAAAGAAATTCTACCCCAATCTATGTCTGCCAGATCCTTAGGTCCCCTGGGTTTTTCCATAGGGGACTTGGAGGTCCCTTTGGGGACAATTAGCACCGAAGCCTCAGTACAAAGACAGAGCCTGTCAAAGGCAGTTTTCTGCTCCTCCTTCTTCAGATGGAGATCCGGCCCGCTCTGGGAAGTGCTCCTTCAGTTCTCTACCAGCACTCACCCTGGGTGAGCACAAGACCAAAGAAATGATTCATGCAGGCAAACATGGTACAGGATGTTTGTTTCACCAGTGATCTTAATTATTCTAAAACCGTGACAGGAGCATTCAGCTCCAGCACACGGCCAGCGGATCTCTGCCACTGTTTTCAGACACGTCCAGAGACAGAGGGGGAAAAAAAAAAGCTGCAACCCTATTGTTGTCAGTTGGGTCTGTGTTGGCCCGATAAGAGTCCCTGCCATTCACACCAACGTGGGCTCACAAGAAATCCGTGTGAAGACTAAGAACAGAAAAGGGCTAATTTACCATGAAGTGGTTTTTCCCCTACAGAGTCAGAAGCCCCCAAACTTGTTGGATCAGTTCATATTGCCAGATGGAGAATGTTAGCATAAAGGGCTTATTCTCTTCCTTATTGTTTGGGAGTCAGGGTGTTCAGGTGGCCACTGTTTGCTCAAGAGGAGGGTAAACAGGACAGACTGATACCCACAGCCAGGGAACATGCCTCTTGGCCATTTGCAATCTGGTGCGGGATACGGGGCTGATGGGAAAGAAACTGAACAGAGAAGAAGTTATAAATCTATTTTGTGCTTCATGTGCATTTTCTCTTCCAGTCCTCCAAGCATTTCCGAGGTGCCTAAACCTATGACAGCTGACCCAGAACAGGCATAGTACCGTAGGACTGGAACCCTCACTGGGGCAAGTGCCATAGCTTCCCCCAACCCTAGGCTCACCCTTCACAGAACACTTTCTTCAGGCACACACTGGGCATTTAAACAGCAATCAAAGCAAGATTTGGGGTCCTCAAGTATCAACATTCTTCCATCCCTTCAAGTATTTCTTAAACGTCCTTCATTTCCCACAGTGGACAAAAGATCTCAACCAGAACTGGAAGTTGAAGTTTAAGAGTCTTATCGCCACTCAGGAGACGCCCATGTTCAATTCTTACTTAAGTGCACTTACATGAACTCACTACTGTGGTTGATTAGACCACAGGCTACCAAAGCAATGAGCCATGGCATGGACAACATCATTCTGTTCTCAAACATCTTTTAAAACATGCCCTAAAGTGAGTGGGTCACAACATTGATAGCCCAGGGCATTAGGATTAATGACATTTATCAAAAATCTCACTGACCAGGGCAATTTATGTCATATTTAGGAATCTTTGAAATAAAAGGTCTTTATTTGCATGACCCTTCCCTTCCACCCTTCATCATGATCTTCTAGGTTGTAAACAGTCTAACGCTTCAAACAGCTTTATAATAATACCCCTCCATATGGGATGGCGTTGTCGTGGCTAGCCAGTTACCACTGATGGCATACGAAAACTATTCTAAGACTCAAAAACTCCAGCCAAGTCTGGCATTTGGGATTACCACTACCATGCTTGATGCTTGATAAACTGTGAAGGTTTTGCATTTTACAGAGGTAATGGAACTTTTACTTCACCTTCCCCAATGTGGTTCTGGTCAATATTTTACTGCTGTTGCTGCCATATGGTTTTAAGAAGTAGTTGCTCTGAGCACAACCATATATTGTTATTTCAACAATATAGACACTACAGCTTTGTTGCTCTTGGTACCTTTTTAGTTCATTCTCCAAAGCATTTTTCTAAATGATTTTCGGTTGGAAGACACTCGTTACCTATTGCTTGAATCATGCTGCCCAACACTGTAGAAAGATCTTGAAAAAAAAAGAAGACTTGGAACATATGTTAACCCAAGTCCACAGACGGAGAGTAAACATTAGAAGAAAATGAACTATTAGAAACCTCAAAATCTGGACGGGAGTGCTGAGGAATATCACCCTATAAAAGGGAGTGAGCATTGGTAGCCTGCAAGCTGAGTGTTTCAAGCAAGGGATGAGGGAGCAAATGGGTTACGACCCAGAGCGAGGCTCTCACACCTGCTCAAACTCCAGGGATCCCCACTTCAGTCCACAACTTTTTTCTGGTCTTTTTAACTTCTGTCTTATCCCACACCACCCTTCTCTCTATTCTGCCTCTCTTCACACGACGCTTTGTTTTTCACCACTTTTCAGGTGACCCCAGTCAGAAATACACAAGTCAACAGTTTTCTGCCTGCTTCCCAATTCCCAGCCGCCAGACTAAGGTCTCCTCCACATCCAGGGCGGCGCTTTCTGAACCCAGCAAGCTCAAGCCGAGGGGGTGATAGATTCTGTGAGTCCTCCAGCGGGGTGACGCCAAATCGGCTCTTCTTCCTTCCTCCCACCGCCCAACGCTTCATCTCCAAAGACACCTAAACTCCTGTGGCCTCCTAAACCTATCCAGGTCTCCGGCTGCTCCCAAGATCTCTGACTGGGACAGGGTCAGGTCGGCAGGTAGACAATACCTCTTTGCAGGCATGAAGCTCCGGTTCGGTTCCCTGGGCCACATGGAAGGCGATCCCAGCCCACAGCAGCAGCCGCACAAGCCCGAGTGTGCGCCTCTCAATCTTCCCTCTGCCTCTGGCGGAGGGACAGCGGCTGCGCCCAGGCTCAGCCATAGCGAGCGGCTCAGGTGCTGCAGTTGCTGTTTCTGCTGGCAGAAGGCAGGAAAGGAAAAAAAAAAAAAAGTGATGGTGGTTGGCGGGGGAGGGGGGGTGGAGGATGCAAGGGGCCGGGCTCACTTCAGTCACCTCCCTGTGGCGCCGCCAAGGCCGCCCATCCTTCCTCCTCCCTCCAGTCTCCTCTCCTCCTACCCACGTCGCCTTGACAACCGCATCCTCTTTCGCCCGGCGCGGGTAGGGCAGGGACCACGAGCACCTCTTGCCGCTCACCTGCCGGTCGCCATGGCAGCCGCCACCGCCAGCGCGCGCGCAGAGCAGCCGTGCGCGCGCCCCGGGGACGTGCAACCGGCCCCAAGAGGCTGGCCCAGGGCTGCATGGAAGGACCACGGCAGGCCGTCCTCTAGGCACTCGCCTAGCCACCCAGGTTGTGCCCAGAGGAAAAAATCCACCCATCCCTCCTGCAAAGCCCGTAGCCCACCTACAGGCTTCCCCCCACCTCCTGGACACTTCACCGACATCCCGCCTTGTCCAACCAGCTGTATTCTTGAGAAGCCGTGGCATTTGGGTACCTAAGCCGAGCTCCAGCCTCGAGAGCGAGACACGTGGCCTCTTCCATGTTTTGACATCCGCCTTCGCTCCTTGTTTGGAAAATAGCAGCGAAGACTTGTGCTGAATCAAGACATACGTGGGTCATTTCTTAGGACTTCCTCGACTGCAGCCTCCTTCAGAAATCCTGCGCGGCGGGAGACCGGCGTGGGTTGTTTTGCTTTTCCCAAATGGAACTCACAAGAGCAAATCCAGGGCTCCCTAGCGCGGGTGCAATGGCGCTATTCCAGGCAGTTTCCCTCACCCAGGGGCATCACAAGTGAAACCGCCTGGGGGTGCCCTTCTGGAAGGGAATTCAGCTCAGTCACAGATGGCTGGGCAGTCACCTGGCAACCGCAGCCAGTGGTTCCAAACAATCGGGATCCCGGATCCACCGCGGGCAAGGTTGTGCCCCGATCGCCTTGGCCTCCCGTCCCTTCGCAATGCCTCCCACACGGAATTCTTTCCAGCACCCTACATTAGACAATGACGATTCCTGCCTGGGAAAACAGCTGGCTTACAAGGTACCGTACGGATCCTGTTCAGATGGCTTTTCTCAAGGGTGCGACTGGCGCAGATGGTAACGGAGAAAACTCTGGTGAGAACCCCTGAGCCCAGTGTCAGCGAGCCCACTGTTTGCTGCCTGCCTCCCAGTCTCCATCTTCAAGATTTTACAGGTGGTTTTGAGTAGAGGGGAGTAGCACTTTCTTTTTTTTTTTTTTAAGATTTATTTTTATTATTTTTTATTGGAAAGGCAGATATACAGAGAAGACAGAGAGGAAGATCTTCCGTCTGATGATTCACTCCCCAAGCCAGGAGCCTCTTCCGGGTCTCCCACGCGGGTGCAGGGTCCCAAAGCTTTGGGCCGTCCTTGACTGCTTTCCCAGGCCACAGGCAGGGAGCTGGAAGGGAAGCAGGGCCGCCGGGTTTAGAACCGGCGCCCATATGGGATCCTGGGCGTGCAAAGCGAGGACCTTAACCACTGAGCCACTGCGCCACCGCGCCAGGCCCGGGGAGTAGCACTTTCAATCAAATAGTTGGTGTCAGTAATTGGGGGCTGGGGCTGGAATTCATCAAGCCACACTTTCCTCTGCTTAGAAACTGTTCTCAGAAGAGACGTGAAATGTAAACTACCTGCATCTGTCTTCAGGCTGTCTTGGTCTTTCGGCTCATGCCAAAACGTGCTTGAGTGTGACTGTTTCCATTGACTTGGGTATTTCAACCATGTCTTGTCTTCTTTCTGCTGCAAGTGTTTGAGACATTGCAAGTCTTGCAAAATCGGTTGAATTAAGTGGTAGTTGTAGTTTAACAACTATCTGAGATCTTTTCATTTGGCATTCCTTACTTATCACATTCTGGTCAGCTGAATGCTAGTTAAATGTGACATAGACGTGGCTGCTACTCTCCAAAAAGCCCAGTAGAAAAGTCAGTGCTTGCATAGTATAGCACCTGTGGCCAGTGAGGAAGAGGAAAAGCTTCCTAAAGCAGATGAGGTCTGACATCCAAGCAAGGCTGGGTGAGGGAGGAGTGCAGTGTCAGTTGGAAGAAGGAAATAGGAACTGGGCATTCAAGGCAAAGGAATCAGCAGGTGCACACAAGGAAAGGGAGAGAGGGTTGGCTTTTTTGAATAACCACATATAGTCCAGAGGGATGAATTGTAGGTGTGAGGTAGAAGTTTTGAGAGACCAGGGCTGGAGCAGCAGTCTCGGTGGGCTGTAGACACCCCACTGGTAAGCTTTATCCTGGAGCGGTACCATTGAATGGCAGTGGATCGGATAGAATGGAAGTGGAATGACAGGGATGATCCAGAAGGCAGGTGCAGCGAGCTGCAGAAGGAACGGTCATGGTTGCAGAGCAATTACACAGGGGACAGTGATGAGGTGCAGATGTGAGAACAAGATGAAGAGGAGGACTGATAGGATGTTGTGACTGACAGCTAAGGGCCCAAGAAACGAGTCCAGCATGACTCGTAGGTTTCCGAGGCATCACAGGGATGTGGGTTTGTGGAGAAAGATGTTACCATCAGTTACGTAGAGGTTTTTGTGGAACCTGTGAAACACCTAAGTCATGATCAAGATTAAGAGACAGGGGTAAGTTTGGGGTTGAGATGTACTCATAGGCCTGGAAGCTGAAGGGAATCAGTTCATCTCAGTGGGAGTGCAAGAATAAGAGAAAGCAGACTCTCTTATAATGACCATCAGGATCGCTCCGGAATCCCCTCAAAACAAACAAACAAAAAACTAGAATAGATAGAGAACAGCAAGAAAAGCTTAGAATCAGACAGGAAACGGTCAGCATGGATTCACATATACCTTACTAGGTAGGACATAAATGATTAGTTACTCCTCACTAAGGTATTGAAGATTTCTCTGCACACCCCTCCTAAAACTGTTCTGCACCTCAACTGTTGATATGCCTTGTTAGACTTATAAGCCAGTTTAGACTACCGTAAAAACTGCCAGGTTCAGCAAAATTATACTTCAACACTAGGAACTGCTAAATACTAAAATGAAAATAGACATGAGACAGCTGAATTGTACCCTATAGCCATTTTAAGATGTATAGAAGCTAGTTGTATATAAACTAAAATTGAAATGTCAATGAAGTAGTCACAGGATGTGGCTAAGAACTTGCATTTTTTTTTTAACATATTGGTTACTCAATACCATGTCAATTAATTCCATAATGTTGTAAATTGTGGCTGATGTTATGTTGGGGCCTTTAATTGATCAGGATGATATTCTACCAGCTCTACCTTTAGACCAGAGATGGTCTCCCCAAAAAACCAATGAATTTATCTGGACAATGAGATGCTGGACTCTATGCTTGGTATATGCTTGCAGTGAAAGAATCTTGACTGAATTTGAACTACAATACTGCAACAAAGTGGAGGAATCCACCTTGGGGGGAGGGCACGGAGAGGGGATGGGGGAATCCCAGAGCCTATGAAACTGTGTCACATAATGCAATGTAATTAATTTTAAAAAAATGTAACTCATAAAAAAAAAAGCAGAAACTAGACCCTGGAGGATACCACCCAGGGGCAGAGGGAGAAAATAGAACTGGGCAAGCCACTGAGGAAAGCCAAGTGTGAAGAAACTGAGCTGGACCTACAAACAGAGGAGCCTGCAGATGGAGGGACCCACAGTAGCTGAGGGAATCAGCCATGATACCAAAAGCCACCATGAACATGGACTCAAGCTTCTGCAGGATCCACCTGTCCAGCCACAGATAGCTTGTCATCTGCAACAGGAGTAGCCGTGGGTACTTAAGACAGAAACCAGGGAGCAGTGGGTTACAGGGGTGGGTGAGATGGAGAAAAAGAATGGAGTAAACGTTGACTGGAAGAAATCTGGCTCTGCAGGGAGGATGACAGGCTGGCAGACGGGCCAGCATGAAGGACCGGACCAGGAGCTGGCATCACAAAAGAGGGGGAGTAAAGAAAGAGTGATCCCTGGTGCTCTGGGCAGGGCTGTGCCTGAGAGGAAGGGGATGCTTGATTGGGAACAGGAGATTCTGCTTCCCCAGGGTGGAAAGTGGAAGGGTGTTCCATGCTGTCTGTCTCAGTTTTCTGAATGAAGGGCAGGCTTGTCCTTCTCGTAACAGAGATGACAAGTCTTGCATAGCTTGTGGGGAAGTGGAAGGAGAGCTGCCCAGGCCTACATCGCAGAGCAGGGCCTCTGCTTGTGTCATGTATTAGGGGTATTTGTAGGTTTCTTTCTATCTCTCAGTAACAGCACAGTGCCTCATATATACTGCATGGTGACACATTTGTTTTTTAAGATTTTGAATGACTGATTGATTATAATTTGAGATGTAGATTTAGAGAAGGGTAGAGAAAGAGACATCTTCCATCTGATAACTCATTCCCCAAATGACTGCAACAGCCAGAGCTGAGCTGATCTTAAGTCAGGAGCCAGGTGCTTCTTCTGAATCTCCCATGGGGGTGCAGGAGCCCAAGGACTTGGGCCATTCCCGGCTGATTTCCCAGGCCATAAGCACAGAGTTGGATTGAAAGTGAAGCAGCCAGGACTTGAACTGGCATCCATATGGGACACCAGCACTACAGGCAGAGGATTAACCTGCTGAGTACCCTGCCAATCCCTCAGTTAAGGTTTAATCGAGCTCAGTCACATGACACTTTGCCATAGTAGGAGCAAATTAGGTTACAGTGTTATGTAACCTATGAGATTTCCTTTTAAAAATCAGAGAGACAGAAAAAGAGCGAGACCCTTCATCTGCTGATTCACTTTTTAAATGGACACAGTAGCCAGGGGTAGGCCAGGTTGAAGCCAGGAGCCAGGAACCCCCTCCTGGTCTCCCATGTGTATGGCAAGGCTCCAGATACTCGAAGCCAGATAGGATGGAGCTCAAACGGGCTCTCACATAGGACGCCAGTGTTAGCATGGCAGGTGGCAACAAACCAGCACCAGCACCTTCTGTCAGTTGAGGAAAACCTAAAAAGATCAACAGCCTGGGGAGGCCGTCATCATATCATTCAAGTCTGCAGAATTCCCTGTAAGAGTCAAGTACCATAGGATGGAATAAGGAAACGATGTCACTGACACTTCCACATCAGCCAGACCCACCGCCCTGTCACCAGGTCCTGAATGAGGTTTCTCTTTTGCAGAAATTACCGTACAAGAATCCGGCTCATCTGGCTCAGCAGCAAGAACCCTGGAGTCGGCTCAACGCAACTTCCACGATTACCTCCCTGAGGCGCCGTGCCTATTTTTCTGACTGCAAGGTGAAACGCTTTTTCTCTTTACATCCATGCGAGGACTCATCAATCCCCTCTTGAGAAGTGATCTGACCTTGACTATTTCCCCGTCTTTCTTTTTGTTCCCAATCCCAGATCCTGCCTAACACAAAACCAAAAACATACTTGGCCTCTGGGAGGTCAGAAGGCTCATCTTTTTGCTTCATTGCCGGAAGCAAAATAATTTTAACAGACTTCTGCTTTTGATGAAAATAACGTTAACTAGAAACATGAATAAGACACAGTTCAAGGCCAAATCAGGGCTATTATTTCCATGTCTCTGGGGGGAGACACCAATCCTTGGAGATGACTACAGCGGAGGCAATTCCATACGGACAAGAGTTAAGAAGTCATCATGACAATTTAGTGTGTGGCCAAGTGGCACAGAGTCACAGCAGGGGATTCACCCTCCCTCAGGGGAAGGGCAGAGCCCACAAATCTGACCTGAGTGCAGGCACAGGTGGCTGCACTAACCCTGGCGGCATTAACTTCCCCTGTAGATACCAAAGGATGACCTGGACTTCCGCTTAGCAGCCCTGTACAACCACCATACTGGTGCATTCAAGGACAAAAGTGAGGTACTGTTACACCAGGAGACAGTCCACGGGTAAGTGCCAGAGGTGGGGCCCTTCACCCTCCGGATGCTGCCATCCAGCCATGGAAGGTAAAAGGTCACCTAGGAGGTTACCAACCAGTGGGCACTCCTTTGTATGCAGATGTTGTAGGCTGACTCTGATGTATGCATCCCTGTTGTCTGCCGTGAACAGATATCCCCGCAGACTTGTGCATATCTGCAGAAACAAACAAAAGCTCTGGCTCATTCTCCAGAGACTAAGGGCCTCTGGCTGCTTTGTGGCTGATGCCTCATGTGACCACCTTCCCTCATCTTCCTCTCCGACTGATCTTCCAGTCTCCACTCCTCCCCACACTGTCTTCTAGAATCAAGATCCAATTCCCGGGAGAGTCTTCACCGCCTCCTCTCCTGCCTCCCATCACTTCCCGGGCTAACATTAGACAGTGGACCAACCCTAAGAAGGAGTCCATCCACAGCATCCAAGGATCCATAGGTGAGCATCGCAGCACTGGGAGACCAGCTCCCTAAATGGACCCAACCATCAAGTGCCGGAGTCCAGCTCCAGCCGAGTTCAGAGCTCGGGAAGGGTGCGTGGAGTCAGCGATAAAGAAAGACACAGACACAGACATTTGGTGCATTCTCACAATAGTTCAGGAAAAAACTGTCCTTTTTATTTACTCAAAACCCCTCTCAAGCTTCTGCACAAGCAACTATTCTATTTTTTTTCTTTTCAAAATTAAGGGGGCATGTACAGACATTTGGTCACTCCGTCTGCACTTCAAGGCTAAGCAGGTGCTCCTAAAGATAATTTTGTAAGTTACTATAATCAGTTTCTTTAAAGCAAGCCGTTATTCATTCTTCAGAAGTGGCCACTAGGTGACAGCCAGAACTCCAAGGCCAAGGCACATGCGATTATTTGCTAATCAGTAGTACTTTCCCACCACATTTCTACTTCTACAATTTACCCATCATTTAATGGGAAAATAGGTTATAAGGGAAAAAACCTAAAATCTAAAATAGAAACTTCAAATGTTAAATCTCCCTACAATTATAGACCCCTACAACCCCATAAACAATAAGACAATAATCAAAAGCATTTTTCTTTTTTTTTTAAAGATTTATTTTTATTATTTTTTTCATTGGAAAGGTGGATATACAGAGAGGAGATACAGAGAGGAAGATCTTCCATCCGATGATTCACTCCCCAAGTGAGCCGCAACGGGTCGATACTATGCCGATCCGAAGCCAGGAGCCTCTTCCGGGTCTCCCACGCGGGTGCAGGTTCCCAAAGCTTTGGGCCGTCCTCTGCTGCTTTCCTGGGCCACAGGCAGGGAGCTGGAAGGGAAGCGGGGCTGCCGGGATTAGAACCGGCGCCCATATGGGATCCCGGGCGTGCAAGGCGAGGACTTAACCACTTGCGCCACCGCGCCGGGCCCAAAAGCATTTTTCTTTAATAAAAGCATCCTTAATTCCTCTAGCTAAAAATTATAAAAGTGGCTAAAACAATTACATTTTCTATGTTCCAAAAAAATTGCAAAGACAGGCTAGCCTTTGAGATAACAATAACTATATCTATTGCCATAGCAGTTTCAGCCCTCACTCCCATCACTTGCATTAATATTTAGGATATTTTCCAGCCCCTTCCCAGAAGGTGTGCTTTATGTCTGGGCCCGATTTCAGGGCAATGGGTAGGCACACAATAAGGTGTCCAGAAATGGCATGGGTTTAATTGTACTCCTGTGCGCAGTTAAAGGCCCACTCACTAAGATATTATCAATAACATTAACTCTTAAGCTCACAGAAGTTGCCAAAGCCATCTCACAGGGGCAAACAATGCCTCAATAGATTACAGAATTCTTAGTGGGGTGCTTGAGTGTCCATGCAAACAGGGGGTGAGACTGCGTCAAGGAGGTCAGAGAGAAATCCGCCGGGCCCTGCCAAACAGCTGGAAGCTCCCCAGGTCCTGCCAAGCAGGGAGCTGTTCTCTTCACACCTTTGTGTCATCCATACCTACTGCACAGACCCCAGCAATCAAGGAGGCTGCTGGTGACTGGCTGGCAGAAAATACTGGGGATTGTTGAGGGCCTTGGGAAGCACAAATGAATACACAGGGACAAGTACAAAGGGACAGGTTGAATACAGAGCTAAAAAATCCATTCAAGTGTTTAGCATTTCAGTCTTAGGTCTAGGGACAAACATTTCTTCCATTAAAAAAAAATGACAGCCCCATGGCTCAACAGGTTAATCCTCCACGTACACGTGCCTGCATCCCAAATGGGTAACAGTTTGTATCCCAGCTGCTCCACTTCTGATCCAGTTCCTTGCTTGTGGCCTAGGAAAGGAGTGGAGGACTGCTCAGGTCCTTGGGCTCCTATACCCACAAGGGAGACCAGGAAGAAGCTCCTAGCTCCTGGCTTCAGATTGGCTCAGCTCCAGCCACTGTGGACATTTGGGAAGTGAACCAGCACATGGAAAAGCTTTGTTGTCCTGTTCTCTGTAACTCTTCCATCCATTGATTTATTTCTCAAACATTCAGGAATATGCCAGACTAAATCCAGGAGCCTGGAATTCCATGTGGGTTTCCCAAATGAGTGGCAGGGACCCAAGTCCTTGGGTCATCATTTGCTGCCTTCCTGGGTGCATAAGGGTAGACACTCTTCTGTGGCTGCAAATGTCCCAAGCAGTGACTTACCCATTACAGCAGAACACCCATAAACATTTTTAGCAAGGGGACACAAGGATACAAATCTGGGAGTGGAAGAGTAATTAAGAGTATTTCTCATCTGCCCTCCATGTGCCAGTTCTCCTACACGTTATTTTTAAAAATATATGTTTTAAATATATATATTTATTTTTATTGGGAAAGCAGATCAGACTTACAGAAAGGATTGAGAGCAATCTTACATACGCTGGTTCACTCCCCAGGTGGCCACAACTGCCAGAGCTGAGTCATTCAGGAGCCAAGAGACTCTTCTGGATTGCACATATGGGTGCAGGGTCCCAAGGCTTTGGAGCATCCTCCACTGCTTTCCCAGGTCATAAGCAGAGAGCTGGATGGGAAATGGAGCAATTGGGATATGAACCAGTGCCTATATGGGATGCTGGCTCTTGTATTGTGAAGATTAGCTAGTTCAGTCATCATGAAGACCCCTCCCCTACACATTATAAGACCCTTCCCCATCTGTGTGTGCATCAGTGTACAATTCAAAGTCCTCAGAAAAGGCAAAAGATCTGAAATTCAAATCTACTTCCTTTTCTTTTTCTCCCAGTGTCCCCTCACACCGCAGCCACCAATGGAGGTTACTCACGCAAGAAGGATGGTGGCTTCTTCTCCACATAGGACCCTGGTCTCACTGGCCCTGGTGGGAACCACTGCCGTCTGCTTCCATTAAACAGATTTGCTCAAGGTGAAGCTTGAAGTGTCTATTGTCATGGCCATGAGTTGCTCCTTGACTGATAAGGAAGGGAAATGTCCCAACTTGCAGATGAGTCCCATGGCGAACATTTGCAAACTGGCAAGTCGTCTTGCTAAAAAGGACTTAGGACTCAGGGTGCAGGATGTGTCTGATAAAACCAAGTTGTTCCAACTTCACAGTGCTAGGCATTCAACGTTTCTTACAAACTTCACAAACCAAGCTTTGGGATAAGCTTTCCCTATCATTTTAGCAACTCAGAGCCTCCTTGGTTGAGCATCTGCTGGACTCCACTGATCCCCGAGGGCTCTCTCCCTGATCCCAGCCCCTAGCCATTGTCAGCCACTGTCTCGTTGTCTGAATGTCAACTCCCTTTATCCCATATCTGTTTGTAATGTGATTTATGGTCCAACTCCTCTAAACATTGCTCAAAAATTGGGTGCTTGTGTTTAAAAGTACCTAAAAACTGATGCCTTATGTGTGGCTCACAACAAATCATGAAAAGATTGTACAGTCCCATTTCTGGTTAGGTTTAACAATCATGCATCATTTACCAATCAGACAATGTGGGCTTTATCCAGTGGCCCGCAGGCAGGGTCTTCTCTTCTTTAGATCATGATCCCTTCCCACGGGACTTTCTAATCTACTAAGATAGAATTTACTGCCAAGTGGCAGGAAAGGGGTAGATAGACACAGCACACGGGTTGGACCCAGCACAGTGGCTTAACCGGTTAATTCTCACGCTGTAAGTACTTGGATCCTGTGTGCGTACTGGTTTGTGCCTTGGTTGTTCCACTTCCAATCCAGCTCCCTGCTTATGGTTTGGGAAGGTAGTAGAGGATGTCCCAGAGCCTTGGGACCCGCACCTGCACGGGAGACCTGAAAGAAGGTCCTCATCAGCTCAGCTGAACATAAGATCTTCCTGTCTCTATCTGCAAATCTGCCTTTGCAATAAGGCTTAACCCACTACATCATAGCAATGGCCTTAAATAATCCAATTTTAAAAGGGGCAAAAGCGGTGTAGAAAATTAAGCCACTGTGTGGGATGCCCACTTGTCAAGAGTCCCTGTTCTAGCTTTGCCTCCACTTGTGACCCAGCTTCCTGCAAATGAGGCAGCTGAGAGCACAGGTACTTGTCCACGTGAGAGGGACTGAACTCCTGACTCCCACGCACATGCTCTCTCTGCCTTTCAAATAAGAGTTTTAAACAGGTGGAGAATTTACTTCTTCTTTTTTTTTTTTCCTTATTGGAAAGTCAGATATAAAGAGAAGGAGAGACAAAGAGGAAGATCTTCCATTTGTTGATTCACTCCCCAAGTGGCCACAACGGCTGGAGCTGCTGTGCTGATCCGAAGCCAGGAGCCTTTCAGGTCTCCCATGCGGGGGCAAGGTCTCAAGACTCTGGGCCGTCCTCGACTGCTTTCCCAGGCCCCAAGCAGGGAGCTGGATGGGAAGTGGGGCTGCTGGGATTAGAACGGGCACCCATATGGGATCCCTATGCATGCAAGGTGAGGACTTTAGCTGCTCGGCTACCTCACTGGGTCCCAAAGAATTTAAATAGATATTATCAACTGAAGATCTGAAGTGGTCAAATGGATAAAATTAATGTGGGGGGCCGGCGTGGAGGCCTAGCGGCTAAAGTTCTAGCCTTGAACATGCCAGTATCCCATATGAGTGCCAGTTCTAATCCCAGTGGCCCTGTTTCCCATCCAGCTCCCTGCTTGTGGCCTGGGAAGGCAGTTGAGAATGGCCCAAAGCCTTGGGACCCTGCACCCATATGGGAGACCTGGGGAAAGTTCCTGACTCCTGGCTTTAGGTCGATGCAGTGCCAGCTGTTGTGGCCACTTGGGGAGTGAATCATTGGACGGAAGCTCTTCCTGTCTGCTCTCTATATATCTGACTTTGCAATTCAAATAAATAAAAATAGAAATAAATTAATGTGGCGGCCTAATATTCCAACTGCTCCACTTCCAAACCAGCTCCGTTTATAGCCTGGGAAAGCAGTGGAGGATGGTCCAACTCCTTGGAACCCTGCACCTGGGTGGGAGACCAAGAACAAACTCCTGGCATCAGATCAGCTGAGCTCCTGCCACTGTTGCCATTTGAGGCGTGAAGAGCATATGAAGCTCGCTCTGCTTCTCTTTGTAAAATCGGCCTTTCAGATTAACCACATATATCTAATTATTAAAAAGACAGCATTCCTTCTGGAAGTACCTTTCCAGATTTTTAAAAAAAGATTTATTATTTTTATTTGGAAAGGTGGGCATACAGAGAGGAGGATCTTCTGTCCATGATTCACTCCCCAAGCGACCACAATGGCTGGTACTGTGCCGATCCGAAGCCAGGAACTTCCTCCAGGTCTCCCACACAGGTGCAGTGTCCCAATGCCCTGGGCCGTCCTCGATTGCTTTCGCAGGCCACAAGCGGGGAAGTGGAGCTGCTGGGATTAGAACTGGCAGTTCTGATGGGATCCTGGCGCGTTCAAGGGGAGGACTTTATCTGCTAGGCCACCGCACCAGGCCCCCCAATTTTAAAATAGGTAAATTCAGTATATACTCACAATGGAGTATCATTTAGACATAAAACAAAGATGGGAATTTTGTCATGCTGTTAAGTCAAAGAATCAGGAAGAAAAGACACGCATGGATGACCTTGTTGTGTGCTAACGTAATAATCATGTACTACATGGTTCCAAAAACGATTCTCCATGCTTTCATTCCAAAGGACTAATGCTGGACTTGGACAGTACGCAATACCTATGTACCGTGAACACCACGAAGGAGAGAGGTCACGTGGTACAGCTTTAATTTAAACAATTATACGAATACTAAAAAAATTTTAAACACTTTATAAAAACCGGAAAACCACATGCCTCGACTTCCTGTACTAATTCTGATCCACTTAAATGTCGGGTCAGGCCCTGGAATCTTTGTGCTTCCTAAAGACTCATTGGCATACGGCAACACACTCACACCGGCGCTGGGACCACAGCACAGGCCGAGGCTTTATTCTGAAAAGAAAAAAAAAAGGAAAATGCTCGGGCGGAAGAGCTGCGGCGGGCCAGGCCTCCCGCGTTCCCAGCCCCCTGGACCCCACGCCCCCGGCAGCCGCGTCCTGGGACCGGGCTCAGATCAGAATCGCCTCGGTAATCATCGGCCCGGGCCAAGCCCGGAGCCTCGTCTATCTGATCAATTCATCACTTCTGAGCGCCGGGCCCCGTCGGACAGGCCCGGGGGCCTCGGGGACCGCGGCGCGGCCGCCGCCCGGGGGCCTCGCTGCACAGCGCCCGGCACAGACGCAGGGCTTCGCGGGAGGGAAGCTTTTCATCTCAGGCCGGCCCGGCGCGGCGGGGGTCTCGGCCCGATCAAATAAGATCAAAGTGCAGGCGGCGGGAGGGCGCAGGGGCGGGCGCACTCACACGGACGCTCACACCTCGGCCCACGCGCTCCACGGACACACGGACACTCACACCTCGGCCCACGCCGCTCCACACACACGGACACACACAAGCAGACACACCACCGCCCCAGGCTCGCTCCCTGCCGCGCCGCGGCGGAAGTGCGCAACCTCTTTTAAACCCTCCGTCCAGCCTCGGAGGATTCTGGGAAAATCACCGAGCACAGGCGGCTTTCCTCCGCAGGCGACTTCCCGACGGAGCGCCTTACTGTCTCCGCGCGGCACGGAGGGGAAGAGCAAGGGCTCAGGACAAACGATGCTGCTTTTCACCCCAGTGTATGCTGCAGGCTGTCTTCATTTCTGTAGCAATTTGGCTGTATGAGTTATATATTTATATATATCAGAAAAGTTATCTGTATTGGAAAAGCAGATTCACATAGAGATAGAGAAAAATCTTCCAACTACTGGTTCGACTCCCCAAATGGCTGCCAACCCCCAGAGCAGAGTGCGCCTCCCTGGGCGTCCGCTATCTTCCCAGGCCACAAGAAGGAGCTGGATGGGAAGTGGAGCAATCGGGACATGAACCAGCACCCTCATGGGATGATCAGCGGGCAGAGCCACCACGCCAGGGCCACATATTTATATTGAGTCGCCCAGTTTTAACACATTTTGTTTCTACCTGTGACTCGATCTCAGATTTATGCATGAATGACTTCTTTCCCATAGAGACGGCTGTCCCTGGGCCTTACAGACAACAATAGCAGTTTTCCCAGCAGCTCCTTCTCTGAGAGAAGGCAAACATTTTATCAGAGGGAAAGCCAAGAGAGAGCAGTTGGATCCAAGGATCAGTCAGTCAGGATATCTGTGAAATGGGTAAAAGCAGGATGGCAGGCTAGTCCTATCCAGCTGCCCAAAACTTTGTTGTTGCAGGTTCACCTTCATATGTAACCAGAAAACCTATGTGGCGTACAGACATCCCAGCACAGTGGAAAACAAAGCTGGCCATGGCAAGCAGAAGCCCCTCTCAGATTAGAGTATAATTCTAACATCTAGGCTACTTTTAAAAATATATGTATTTATTCATTTGTATTGGAAAGACAGATATACAGAGACAGAGAGGAAGATCTTCCATCTGTTGATTCACTCCCCAAGTGGACACAACGGGCTGGAACTGTGCCAATCCAAACCCATGAGCCAAGAACCTCTTCCGGGTCTCCCATGCAGGATAAGGGTGCCAAGGCTTTAGGCAGGCTGTCCTCATCTGCTTTCCCAGCCAAGCATGGAGCTGGATGGGAAGAATGGCTGCCAGGATACAAGCTGGCACCCATATGGGATCCTGGCTAGTGCAAGGCAAGGAGTTTAGCCACCAGGCTACTGTGCCAGGTCCCCATCTTGGCTACATTTTGCCTTTAAAACAAGAAGCAGGGTGTACAGAGGGGATAAATCAAAGGATTTTGGAAATTAGTAGCAAAGGTTTAAAAGGTTGTCCTTGTCACACTTCCCCGGGGCACCTGGAATAAACAAAGCGCAGGTGGGACAATATTGGATACCCATTCTACGTTCCAGGCTGTCATTCTATCAAGGATTTTTCTAGGTGCCTGGCTAGTTAACCTGATAACTTCATACAACGGAAAAAGTTTATAGCTGGTAAAAGCATTTTAATACTAAGAGCTGGTTAAACATGGGGGGGACAGCTGCTGTCTAACATGTACGAATGCTCTTATTCGTATGTATTTCATACATATGTTAGCTCCTTCAAAGGAGAAAGTGAAACCACCAAATTTTTAAAGTTTCATCTATTTGAAAGAGTTAGAGTGATAGGGAGAGACAATGGTAAGAATCTTCCATCCACTGGTTCACTCCTCACGGCTGCGCTGGCCAGCACCAGGCCAGGAGGAAGCCAGGAAGCTCCTCCGAGTCTCTCATGCAAGTGCAAGGACCCAAACGCCCGGGCCATCCTCTGTTGCTTTCCCCAGGCTATTAGCACAGACCTGCACCTAAAGTGAAGCATCCAGAATAGAACCCACTGCCCACTGGGAATGCTAGTGCCACAAACAGGTGAAAGCAGTTACCCACACCACCAGTCCCCAGCCACTGTAGATTCTGAAGTGTGGGACCCGGCGGCATGGCCTAGTGGCTAACGCACCAGGATGCCATATGGATGCCAGTTTAATCCCGGCAGCTCCACTTCCCATCCAGCTCCCTGCTTGAGGTCTGGGAAAGCAGTCGAGGACAGCCCAAGGTCTTGGGACCCTGCACCCGTGTGGGAGACCTGGAGGAAGTTCCTGGCTCCTAGCTTTGGATCGGCACAGCACCAGTTATTGTGGTCACTTGGGGAGTGAATCATCAGACAGAGATCTTCCTCTCTGTATATCTGACTTTGTAATAAAAATAAAATAAATCTTAAAAAAAAAAGATTCTGAAGTGTGTCATATCCCCGGGAAAGAGGATCACTAGCGTGAACCAAGAGGATATGCTATGAGCAGAAACCGAGGCAGTATCAAAGTTTAATAAACTCAACATGTGACAAATAAAGTAGACAAAGATTGTAGGGAAAGAAATTTTATTTTTCAGGATCTGTGCAGACAACGGTCAATAAAAAACTGTTTCGACTATAAAAAGGGAGCTGACATCACCCACCCTGATACACAGGGTATATGGCGGTGCCAGTCTGAATGTGAGGCAATATTACTGTCCCCACATTTTCATTCCTAAAATACACCCCAGAGGAACAACCTCCTGTTATTCTTCATCAGAAATATTTAAAACACATTAACCAAAATACTGAGTGAAGTAAGAGTTTCTCCTTATCTGCTTACAGAAAGAAATGAAATAAGCCATGTATGGTTTTCTTGCTGTAAATCACCTTCACCTTGTGTACTTCTTGGTACATTCTTGTATGAAAACATCTTAGAAATTTAAGATATCCAGAGTCTAGGTCAAGATGACCCTTGCAGGAGGCTGCAGAAATCGCTTTGAAATAGAACAGTAGAATGGAACCAGCTAAAAATAAGCAGCAGCTCTCTGCTCAGAGCTGAGACATTAGCCCTGGTAGAAAAGAAGTCACAAAAGCTACACAAGTAAGTGCAAAATATGCTGGGCCTGTTTCCAGGGAGTGACATTCCTTCTCACCAACAGGATACAAAGCCTCACCCCCAAGGTGTAACTCTTCCTTCCTCTTTCTCTCATGCAAAAAATCCACAAAACTGAGAATGGAAAAACAGGAATCACTGAAATTTACCCTGTGCACCAATGCCTGAAGAGATAATAGCCACAGCTGAGATGATTAGACGTGTAGTGTTGAACTTGATAGCTTCCTATTCATCTAGAAACCCTCAGAGCGCTTAACTGCTTTCTTGTAGAAATTGAACTTCCCAGCAGCAATTATTCCTTCGGAGCAAGCAGACAGGAGACAGCTGATGGCCACACGGGAGTGAACCCCAGTTAACTCGTCCGCACTCAAGCTTTCATGCAACGGACAACTCAACTGGAAGACCTGTATCTGCTCGCTTATTACAATCATTTAGCTGCACATGTAGTCTGATCCTTTTGCAGCCAGAAGAAAGAGGGAGAATCTGAGACACCTAGGTGAGCTGCTCGGGAGCTGCCCTGGTCAGAGGAAGCGCCCTCGCGTGGTGGCACAGCTGTCCTACCCGGCGGCAAACAAACCTTTTATGCATGGATTCCATGCCAACAAGGATCGGCAACTTCCTTGACTCTCTCATGTTCTTATATAGATGGAATTTTCAGAGACAACTAGGGCCACGACACGATATGAAGAGAATCAACAGCTGGTCAAGAAAAACAATTTTTAAAAATTGCCCTCAAGACCCAGACATAAACAAAAATTAAGCATGTCTCTTGTACACGTGGCAAAATTACCATCTGACATCACAACAAATTTTCATACTACATGAATTCACTAGTATAATTCATATAACAGATTCATTCTAGCCCCACTGCAAATATATTAGATAATTATTTCTTGAATAGTCTCTTTTCCCTCTCGTGGTGGCATTTTAAAAAGTAATGGCATTTAGCCCTACAAAATTCAGGAAATATAAACGCTTTAGGAAATAGCAACATGGACTCTTTCTCAGACATCATTTGACTGAGTAAAGTCTCCTAGGAAGAGTGGTGAATGGAAAATGTCTTCTAAGGGTCTGCCTTCTGCTCTCCTCACAGACAGGTATGTCCTGAATTGTACATATGCCTAGAATCGCCTGGCAGAACTCGCGGGCCACCACACATGGCACGGCCACCTCATCTGCTCTCCTGGGATGACAGCTATGCCTCTCTCTGTTCCCAGCTGGGTACAAGAAAAATAAATTCGCAAAGCCACACAACTTCTTGGCATTTCATAACTCCTATTTATACCCAGCACCCCCTTCCCAATTTGTCAAATCCAAATCTAACAGTGAAAAACAAAAAGTCCCATTTTGAAATGATGCCTCCTTCTTTCTGAGCGGTCTGAAAACAGCCCATGTTCTTCCCTACAAGCCTCACTGGAGAAGACCCTGACAAGTGGCTGAAGCATAAAATGGGTGACAGGTTTTCAAGCAAGAGGGATGTAATATGACGACTGAGGGGTGTAATTTATCCGGCCATTATTTGCTGACTACTGAGAACTGATTTATACACAGATCAAAGGAAGCTGGCTCTCTGGAGTCCTCGGGAGCATAAACAGTGTTCATAACCATGATGAGTGTTCCCCACAAATGGCAGGGGCACCCGCTGTGGCGGCACCCTGGGGACTTAGATGATCTGGACTCAACTCTGTTACGCTGGGTGCAGGCCTCCGACAGGTTCTTCACCCTCGTCCCCTTGGTTGGCAGCTGGTGAGGTGGATTCTTTGGAATTCATTTTATAAACAAGACGTAAAAGGCCATTACGACACAGGCGATTGCCACAGCAGCATGCAGCCGGGTTCCAATCACAGCAGCTGGCAGGCAAAAACAGAGAGGGAGAGAGATCACACAGAGCACACACAGAGCCTCACCACCAAGCTGGCACTGCCAAATCTGTCTGTGAACCAGCAGACCTCTCGAGAACTTCAGAATGATGTTCCCTGTTCCAGATTCTGAGTAAATATTTTCTTCGTATTTTACTCTATTCTGCAAGAAGATTTTGACAAGTAGAACTCCAGATGAAGAGGCCCAAAATGAAAAGCAAAAACGTATCTAAGTTAACTAACTTAAAACTTAAAACTCTGATGTATTCTTTTCAGAATGGCAGAAATAAAAGTGGAAAAATATTCCTCCCACCCAAAGTAGCAATTCCAGCCCAGCCTAAAATTATTTCATTTATTTCATTTTACTCCATGGAGAATATAAAGTTACCTGCATGCTAAGATGAATAAACAATTCTGCTTAAATAACAGCAAATGGTAACATTTACCTGCCCTCCCAACTTTGGAAATGATTTCTTTATTGACCCTTAGACTCAGTCTTAGATATTTCTTTTCCTAACAGTGAAAGAGCCCACCCTCCGGCCCAGCCAGTCTCCCCTCGCAGTGCCCCGCTGCACAGCAGGTGCAGTCTCCTCTTGAGGAGCACGGCCTTACCTTTGTAAAACACACCCCAGACTCCCTTCTTCTCAGACAGAAGCCAGGTTTTGAGACGAGGTACTTTTTTGAAGTAGGCACAGGTACACACAAAGAGCAAGCCGAACACCAAAATCCCGTCCAGGGAGTACACTGTTACACAAAGAAGAAAAGCAAAGCTCTGGTGCCCATCTGGCTTGGCCTAGGAGCCCGACTGTGATCCCTAAGGTCAACAGAGTGTGACATGTGATACTGAGCTGATAACTGCAAGTGCCATCAGCCACACCTGAAAAAGAGGAGCCACGGTTCTGGGACCCACCAGCCACTATCCCCTACCTTCTTTTTTTTTTAAGATTTATTATTTTCTTTTTATTACAAAGTCAGATATAATAGAGGAGGAGAAAAAGAGAGGAAGATCCTCCGTCCAATGGTTCACTCCCCAAGTGACCACAAAGGCAGGTGCTGCACCGATCCAAAGCCAGGAGCCTAGAACCATACCCCCTCCACCAGGTCTCCAACACGGGTGCAGGGTCCCAAGGCCTTGGGCCCATGCTCGACTGCTTTCCCAGGCCACAAGCAGGGAGCTGGATGGGAAGCGGAGCTGCCAGGACCAGAACCAGTGCCCATATGGGATCCCGGCACGTTCAGGGCGAGGACCTTTAGCCACTAGGCCACGCCGCCAGGCCACCCTTACCTTCTCCTTCCAAAATCTGGAAATGCTGGGCAGCACACATCAGCCCACACACAGTCACCCTCTCAGGAATCACCTGCGATGGTGACAGACTGAGTAGCCTAGGAACACTGGAGGGCCAGCCTTGCTGCACGTGACACCAGCATTCCCTAGGGGCTCTGTTTTGAGTTCTGGCTGCTTCACTTCCCATCCAGCTGCCTGAGAAAGTACCTGGGAAAGCAGATGGCCCATATGCTTAGGACGCCACAACTACAAAGGGGACCCTGGAAGAAGCACCTGGCTCCTGGCTTTGAATCAGCTCAGCTCCAGCTGTTGTGGCCGCTTGGGGGGTATGGAGTGAACTGGCAGAGGGAAGGCAAGGTCTCTGTCTCTCCTTCTCTCTATAAATCTGCCTTTCCAATAAAAATGAATACATCTTTACAAAAACAAAACTGCCCCATTAGATCCAGTAAAGTGATACTGTCAATGCACCTCTCTTGCTCGGGCAAATTTTCCCGACTATCCCAAGATTCACAGGCAGGGACTATGTCGGGCCTCTGTGCAGGCCTATCCGTGGTCAAGGTGGTCCTCAGAATTGGCTATGCCCTCCAAGCATGCCCCCGAGAGGGCTCTCCTTCCTGTTTTCCTGGACGGCTCATTTCAAACACTGTATGGGCCCTGCTGCCAGTCTTCCCCTGAAATTCAGAAATAGTGTCTGCAGAGTAGCTCCCAGGAGCCCAGGGAGTGCAGCAAGGGAAGCCAGAGGACAACCGTACCTCATTGTGAAAACGACCCCTTTCAAACCGACCTGCCAGGGGCTCCTGGTCAGGTGTTCCCATCCACCAAGAGAACTGCAGGCAGTCTGTAACAAGTAACAGTGTCACTTGACAAGGAACGGCAGGGCAGCCTGTGTCTGGTACCTTGACTACACAGAATGCTGGTACAGGAGAATGAGCTCAAACTCGGTGGGCAAAAGTCAGAGGCCAAGGGCCAGCCGTGCCCGTGAGGCCGAGGGCCCACAGCTGGCCAACGATCCAAGGCCGATCCAAGGCCGCAGGGCTGCGTGCTCTAGGCCAGCTGTGTCAGTCCTGCACCGACTTGGGTTCGTGGGCCACCCTGTTGCTTTCTGATCACCAGTGCAAGACAGGGCTATCAAAATGTGGGCCGCATTCACTCCTACCATCTGACTCCCCCAGCACTTCAAGAAAAAGCGCAGGCCGCTCAGAGATCGGGGCTTCCCTCCGGCTGCCCCGCTTTCATCACCTTCATCTCATTAGTTTCTCAACTGCACGTCGCCTCTGTGTCTGCTGCTGAGGACATTGTACGGGGCAATAAAAAAAAAAAAAAATGGAGACCTTCTTTTAGGAGATACACACACACCGCGACCGTGTAGGGCTTGACAGCGTCTGTGATTTTTTGGTCCTCTCACCGATCTACCCCAAAGCAAGGGCCGGAGCAGAATCCGGGGGCACGTCACACTTTTAGGAAAACTGCCTCCCCACCCCCACCCCGCAGGGTCAAGAGCAACTTCTAGGGAAAAAGCAAAGGCTAAAGGACGGAGACTCGGAGGTGGGGACAGGCAGGAGAGGCAAGGGGGGCGTCCCGGACAGGCTCGGGAAGGAGGACTCCGAGCAGGGCGCGAGGGGACACCCGAGTGAGGGGCGCCCCAAAGCGGCGGGGGGCGGGGAGAACGGCCACGTCAGACCGGGCCCCGCCCGCCGCGGTGTGTCCTCGCCCCTCCCTCTTAGGACCCCTCAGGTCGCCAGTGCTCACCGTTCGTCATGGCGACTGGGCCGGGGCCCGGGGGCAGGACCCGGTTCCGCGGAGATGGCAGCGAACGCGGGGGAACCCGGCTCCCGCTTGACACTTCCCGATCCGGGCCGCGGCCACCAGCAGGAGCGCGACTACGCAGGCGCAAGGGCCGGGAGGCGAGCGCCGAATGCCATCGGGGCGGCTAGCCGATTGCCGAGCGCGGGCGGCTGACGGAGGTGGCTTCCTGCGTGGCCATGGTAACCAGTCTCTCCGTAAGGCTGAAGGAGTGCGGCGGGGTGTCCTGCCACCGTGGTGAGTGCCGAGCACTCCGTTCCCGGGCCAAGTTTTCAGGCACGATCGAAGGCTGACCAGGAAAGTAAAGCAAAATTGTCCTGTTTCCCACCGGCTTTGTAAGAAATCTGGATATAGAATCAGGTCCAACTCCCGAAGGAGACATTGGAGAAGCCAGCTGGGCCTCCAAGGCACGGCTCACCTCCGAATGCCGGCTGCCTCTTACCACGTGAAGCTGCGGAACGGTACCGCCGTCCTGAGAGCTGCACGGGCTTTATTGGGAATATTATTTTCCTCTTTGTTCCTATGCTCTGCCCCAGTTGTATGCCTCAGTAGTAAATCTGTGAACGTCTGTTTGGGGAAGAAGAGAAGAAACAGCCTCCAATATCCTCTGCGACTGGCCTTGCCGCGAGGCTGCTGTTCCTTATTTCGTAGCAGAAATTTAGATAGAGATGGGCGTGTGGCAGAGTAGGCTAAACTTCTATCTGTGGTGCCAGCAACCCGTATAAAGAAGCTGGTTTGTGTCCCTGCTGCTCCAGGTCGGATCCAGCTACCTGCTTATGGCCGCTGAAGAAATCAGATTAGGGCCCAGTGTGGTAGCCTAGTGGCTTAAGTCCTCACCTTGGCACGCGCTGGGATCCCATATATTCGTGTCTGGGATGCTCCACATCCAGCTCCTTGCTTGTGGCCTGGGAAAGCGATAGAGGACAGTCCAAAGCCTTGGGACCCTGCACCCGCATGGGAGACCCAGAAGAAGTCCTGGCTCCTGGCTTCATATTGGCTCAGCTCTGGCCATTGCAGCTACTTGGGGAATGAACCAGTGAACAGAAGATCTTTCTGTCTCTCCTTCTCTGCCTTTCCAATAAAAGTAAATTTTTTAAAAAAGTTTTTAAAAAATCAGAGACAAGTCAGTGAGGATAGCATAGTTCCACAGTATTCCAAAAGTAATTGCTGCTGTTTCTGAAAGTGATTAGCCAGCGGGTCCAAGGTCTGACAACAGGGACTCGGTTTGCAGTACTTCCCAGCAGGGGGGTTGGTATGCCTCTGGGTGTTCAGGTGTCATCTGAATGGTTTTGCTCCATACATTTTCCATTTGTTTGTTTATGCATTTAGGTTTGTTTTCCCAAAGTACCTGTCCTGTATGGGACTTCTCTGGCTTACCTGTCCACACCAGCTTCTGACAGAAGGCTTTGGTAGATTTCCTTGTTTTGGATATCAAAGCAGGTCTCCACCAGCCAGCAGCACTACAGCAGAGAGAGAGAGATCCCTTTGGGTCTTCAACAACTATTGCAGACCTATAACTCTGCAATTGCAACCTCAGTGAACCCAGTGTGACACTTCTTCCAGGACTTCAGCCAAGTGCAATAGAAGATTTCAATTTAGAACTAGTATTGTGGTAAGGTAAGTTAAGCTACTGCCTGCTACACCAGCATCTCATATGAGAGCTGCTTGGAATCCCAGATGCTCCACTTGCCATCCAGCTCCCTGCCAAAGCTCTTGGAAAAGCAGATGACCCACATACTCTGGCCCCTGTCTTCCATATGAGAGATTTAGGTGAAAATTCAGGCTCCAGGCACCAGCCTGGTCCAGCTACTGTGGCATTTGGGAAGTATCTGATGTTGGAAGACCATTCTCTGTGTCCCTCTGCCTTTCAAATAAATAAGTCTTTTAAGAAAATATTTCAGTTTGCAAAGTGGAATGTGTAACACTTTAGCTCCTCCATCTGTTCCTTTCATGAAACTGACCATGTCTTTTGTCATATTGTCAAAGCATCATGAGTAGCGCTGTTTGCCAATTTCTGGCTAAGGTGACTGGGGAGTCCAGAATGTACTACATACGAGAAATAACATACTCTACTCAAAAAGGCAATTATCTGAATTGCTTCCCAACATTGTACTTGAAATATGTGACTAGTCTTTGTTATCAGATTCCTTATTTCCTTTCCAAAGCTTAGGTTAAGCCTATCTAGATTTTTTCAAAAAGATTTATTATTTTTTATTTTTATTTGAAAGGTAGAGTTGGGAAGAGGAGAGAGATCTTCCACCTGCTGGTTCACTCCCCAGATGGCTGCAACAAGCAGAGCTAAGCTGATCCAAAGCTGAAGGCTCTACTACCAACAGTAGCAGCAGCAGTAGCACTTCAGTTTCCAGTTGCTGCCCCAGGCTAAATGAAGGGTCCAGAACCCTTTTAGGTCTTTAGCGAATCCATATTCGGTAATTTAGACTGAGTTGTGTAGCTCATCTCCATCTTACAGAACTACTTCTGGAATGTTGTAAATCAGAACGCAAAGTCTTCAATCTTTCAAGGAAAATGAAGTTTGTTAGGGCTCCGATGCAGTAGCTTAGTGGCTAACGTCTTCGCCTTAAGTGTGCCAGAATCCCATACAGACACCAGTTCGTGTTCTGGCTACTCCACTTCCCTTCCAGCTCCCTGCTTGTGGCCTAGAAAAGCAGTCTAGCATGGGCCAAAGCCTTGGGACCCTGCACCCGCATAGGAGACCCAGAGGAGGCTCATGGCTCCTGACTTTGAGTCGGCTCAGCTCCGGCCATTGCGACCACTTGGGGAGTAAACTAGTGATGGAAGATCTTTCTCTTTGTCTCTCCTTCTCTCTGTATTTCTGCCTTTCCAATTAAAAAAAAATTATAAAATAAATCCTTAAAAAGTTGCATAAAATACTCTGTCCTCAGGCTAAAAAAAGGTGGGGAGGAAGGCATGAGTTAGTGAGCAGCAAATTCTGTTTTCGATTTCAAAGTTGTCTTCACATTGTTAGCTCTCTGCCTCCAATTACAATGCTCTCCCCTGGTTTCCATCTTGGGATGACTTTGTTCCAAGTGTTAATGTTTCTTTCACCCTGGAAAGCACCATACCCCCACTGCCACCCACCCCCTGCAGTTATGTCTCACAGCAGTCCAAAGCCTGGGTCACTGGCTCTCACAGCAAGGAACAAATACAGCCGCACTGGGCGGGGCATTCTCAATGCCTACAGCCATTGCTCAGTTTAGTGCAGCCTACACTGGCCGACAGGGGTGTTGCTGGCAACTGCCTGCCAGTCAGGAACACTGGCTTGTTTGTTGGGACTGCTTGCGGTCTTTGTGGTAAACACTAATCAGGTTTGGGGAAGCATGACTGTGGCATAATGGTTTAGCCGAAGAGTGAGTTCAGTCCCAAAGGCACAGCTTGCAGCAATACCTTCGTTTGAATTACAACAGGGATGTCAAACAGGCAGTAATTTATGCAGCAAATATTTGTCCAGGGGACTTCTAAGTCTGAGGAATGTGCTAGGCTATGGGAAAGCATGTGGGAAGCAGACTCTCCCTAATGCAGGTCAGCTTTGGGAGAACAAGAAAAGAGTGGTGCATATAATTACCAGAAAACATGGGAGAAAGTGAGAAACGCTGGAGGCAAATGAAGGCTCCAGGCCCTGGGGCTGGATAAAGGAGAGCTTTCAGGCTGCCTGGGAGCTGGGGCAGGCTTTGTGTGCAGCAGGCAAGTCACTGGGCCCGAGGGGCCCACAGCCTTTCAGTAGGCAGAAAGAGAAGGAACTCAGTGGGGCTGGAAGGGAGCCATCCAAGGCCTGGAGCCAGTAAGCTTTGAGGCTCTGAAACTCTATAGTCCGGATGGGCGGATTTAAGGTCTTTCATACTCCAGCTTCATCTTAAATCGCTTTGCACCCAACAGGCGTGCGCTTCAGCAATCCACCTGGAACAGCTTGTTGAAACACACCGTGACATTCTCCAACCTGGGATTTATTTCTGTGCACAACAGAGCAAGATTTTCTTCCAGTTAATATATGGGATCTCAGAGAGCTGAATTGTTCATACTTCACAATTCACAACGTACGATTCTAAACGGGCTTTCCAAAGTTCTTCACTTTATGCCTTTTATATTCTCATTCTTTCTACACTGCAACCTTTCTAATGTGTGAATGCATGTGATGACTGCTTTCTCCCCCAAAAAGGCAGAGTCATAGAGATCATTCACTGCTTCACTCCTCAAATGACTGCAACAGCCACAGCTGGGTCAGGCAAGTCAGGTGCCAGGAACTACAAGTGACTTTCCAACATGGGTGGGAGTCCTTGTCTGAGGGGTACCAGGAGCATTAGTGGGGAGCTGAATCTGGAGTAGTTGGGGTACAAGATACAGACATCTTGAAGTAGCAGTTTAACCTGCTGTGCCATAATGCCTGCCCCATTCTATGCTTTTTATATTCTTTTACAATATGTCTTCTGTATATGTTTACATTAACTAATTACTTTAAATTGAGAGGCATTAGAGAGAAGATAACCACCACCTGCTTATTCATTCCACATATGCCTGCAATGTGAGATAAGGAGCCGGGAACTCAATTCAGGTCTAGCAAGTAGGTGGCTAGGATCCAGCTGCTTGAGTCACCACCTGCTGTATCCCAGGTGCACATCAGCAGAAAGTTATACTAGGGAGTACAGCTGGGATTCAGATCCAGACACTTTCAGGTAAATGCCTACCTGTTTGGGTGTATTTTTTTTTTTTTTACTAAAGATTTATTTCTTCTTCTTGGAAAGGCAGGTCAGATTTACAGAGAGGAGGGACAGAGAGGAAGATCTTCCCTCCATTGATTCACTCCCCAAGTGGATGCAACAGCTGGAACTGTGCTGATCCAAAGACACAAACTAAGAACCTCTTCCAGGTCTCCCGTGAAGGCTAACGGTGCCAAGGCTTTGGGCTGTCCTCAACTGCTTTTCCAGGGCACAAGCAGGGAGCTGGAAGGGAAATGGAGCAACTAGGATACCAACTGGCATCCATGCGGTATCTGGGTGCTTGCAAGGTGGAGACTTAGCCATTAAGCCATCCTGCAAACCCTTGGGTTTAATTCACATCCTGCAAACCCTTGGGTTTAATTCACATAAATGATATTGTGTTACAGATTTCACTGTTTTTAAGCTCTGTCTCAGTTGCTGGTTTACTGCTTCTGGGTGTTGGGTGGTACTCCTTGGTGTACGTTCCGTACATTGAACTTCTGTTCCCCAGATAATGCTGGACGCTCTGAATGTTGTCGCTGACCACTGTGGTAAGGCCAGTGTTTTGTTACTGCTAACTAAACTTAGCAGTTTTCAACTCTCTCAGACTCAACACTATCCCTTGAACAAGAGTGTCTCCCTCTTTATCCTGAACTGAAATTCATAGATACCATACCATACTGTGGTGGGCAGCAGCCTAGCCCCTGAACTAAGCACATAGCACATGCTGTCTCAAAGTAGGCCAAATTGGCATACTGCTTATTTCAAGATGAAATCCCTTGAGAAACTGTAACTCCAGAAGGAATCATTTTGCCTGTCTTTCCTGCATGCAGCAAGTCATAGATTCTATAGAATGGGGAAAGGGGTGTTCCTTCCACACCAAGGTAAAAATAGTGGTTATCACCAGAGACTGGCAGGTAAGGCTGCAGTGAGCCTGAATGAACCAACCCTGAGATACTCCTCAGCCGCCATTGGCTTCATCTGCCTTTCCCCAGAGGGCTCAGTAACTTGCCTGGGTGGAATTCACTCTCCCAGTCCAGAGATCCAGTCCTGCTGCCAGAACTTCCCAGGTGGATTGTTCTTTGAAAAATATAAGCGCATCATGTTTTCATCATCTTGCCAGACTTCATTCTTGTGTGAGGATTTCCATGAATGTGTAAATGTAATGTAATTTTTATATTTTTCTCTAGTTAAATTTGGTATTAAGTTAGTTCTGAGATTTGGCCAAAGAGCCCACATAAGAACTAGAGTGGAGGGAGGCAAGCCGCTGAAGTCATTCATGTTCCCTATTCCGGTTCCTGGGTTTGACATCCAGCTTTGACTTCTGCCACCAGCTTCCTGCAGATCCTGGGAGGCAGTGATATTAGGACAAGGAGCCAGTTCTTGCTACTTATGTGGGAGACCTGGGTTGAATCAGTAAATGGGAGTTCTTCTCCATCTGCCTCTCAAAAAACCAAACAAAACAAGGCAAGGGGAGGGTTTGCCTTTTCTCTTCCCAACCTTCAATAACCTTGCTGACTCATGTTAGTTTGTCTTTTAAAATTTTTTTACTAATTATATTTATTTTTGATGATAGTTGATTAGGGTGATAAGGGTCAAGGGCTACAGGAAGGTGGGTGAGATCACCATTTCCACATTCTTTTTTTTTTCTTCCTGTATCTGAAGGAAGGTAGGGGACAAGCAGAGAAGTCACACCCAGCCTTCCAAATGCCTCCGCACCTTGGAATGGAGGACAGCCACCTGACACCACCACCGGGTTCCCAATGTGGGGCATGCTCTGAGGATCCTTCTCAAGAGGTTTTGATAGCTCAACAGTACTGAATTACTGCTGATCTCACCACTCCAAGCACGACGAAGTCATTCCAGAATCCACTGGTTGACATAGTCCACCCCAGAGTCTCCATTTGCCCAGATATTCACTGCCAACTCTTGGCTGGGGTAGTTGATCCATTAAACTTGTCCTCTGTCATTTTACTAGGTGTCCTCTGCAGGCTCCGATGTACTGCCATATCCTCCATGTGCACCTGGATCTGCTGTCCACTGTTACATCTGAGCCACTGAGGAGGCTCAGCTCTAACACATGCACTCCACGGTCAGACCATGGAACCTGCAATTCTCTTCATGGTTGGGGTTTTGAGTCCAGCAATTTTCAGTTGGCGGGAGGATCCCCAAAGAAACTTCATCTGAGGTGATCCCAGTCCTGATTCTTCTGAGTGTTTGCCAGTACAAAGCTTGGCACAGTCCATCGCCCAAATCAGTTTACGCATATGCTGGTGGTTGCCATTTTTGGGTCAGTACTGCCCCCCCAGCCCTGTCTTCTACACAAACCAAAAGTGTTTCAGCCCATCCCAATCCTGTCCACCACATACTCAGCCTTAATGCAAACCAGTGGATGCTGCAGCCCAGTCTAAGCAACCTGTAATAACCTCCACCAGGTCCACCGCCTGCACTGGTTCCCATTCCAGCCAGTATGTACAGCAAACTGATCCAGTCTGTCCCACATCTCATTCAGCTTTCATACATGTCAATGGGTACTGAAGCCTAGTTCAGCCCAACCAGCCCCACTATCCAGTCCACACACGTGCCAATGGGTGCCACTCTCTGTCTAGTCATGCCTGCCCCAATCCTGGTTTTCATGCTTACCAGTAGGTGTGGCAACGCAAGAGGGAGACAACCACTGTTTCCTTAACGGGCCCACTCCCACTCCTGGATCATGTACTCTCCAAGTGTTTCTGCAGTTTAACTTGACAGAATTATCCTCCAGTGCCGGCGCCTGCCAGCTGATGCTACAGCAAAGACCAACCAACCAACACCCACTCTGGCTTATGCTTGTAACAGTAGGAACAGTCAACCCAGCCTGGCTTTTCCCTGATCCAACTCACATGAGGTCAACAGGTGTTGTAGCCCTGCCCGGTCTGGTCTACCCCCATCCCAACTCACACTCTCCAATGGGAGTGGTGATCCAGCAGGGAAACCCTCCACATTCCCCCTACCAGTTTTACCCCTTTCCCCCAGGTCTTGCGTGTGCCGGTTGGGTGCCATGGCCCAATCTGGCATGGCCTGCCTCACCTCAGCTTTTGCCTGTGGGTGCTGTACCCCGGCCAGGCCTGTACACCCCCAATTCCAGCTCATGCTGGTAAGGGCTACAACCCATCCTAGCTTAGCCAGTCCCCAGTCCTGCCCCTCATGTGAACTGGCAGGTGTTGCAACCCAACCCAGCCCAAGTCACACTCTGTTCTGGTGCTTGGATACACCAGCAGGTGATGGGAACTGGCCCTGCCTGGTATGTCCCCAACCTGAGCCAAATGTGTGCTGGTGGATACCATTCCCTGACCTGGTCTAGGCTTCTCCCTATCGTGGTTCTTGTGCTCACCTGCAGGGACTGTGTCCTGCCAGAGGAGTTTCCCAAGCTCCTCCATCAGAACCTTTCCCAATGTCAAATCTTGTGCACATGGGTAGGTCCATGGGCTAGCCCTACTTAGTCCACTGTGGGGTTCAGGAGCAATGAGATCACTAAGACGGAGACTAACAGTCCAGGTCACTGGCAGACAAGATGGCGGCCAAGGACAGAGCCCTGGGAATGAACCAGGGCAGGAGTCATGTAGCTCCAAGAAAATACTGATTGACCAGGGCCATCTCGTTCACCTACCCCTGGCCTATGGGAGGTGGCTTCCGCAGTCATTCTCTTAGTAATTGGCTCCTAGTTTCTCCCCTCCTGCAATTCCCATAATTCCCAGCCTGAGGCTATCCCTTACCCTATATAAGAAATTGAATTTCCCCAATAAATCGGAACTGCTTAGACAGAACCCCTGTCCATCTGTTTGTCTCTCGCGGGCCAGGAGGCTGGGTGGTGGGCAGCAGGCTCATCCCCTCCATCAGCGAGGTACTAAAAGGAATCTGTGGGGGAGACCCCGTAGTCCACCTCCTGTCCTAGCAGGAACAGTAGCCTTTCCTACCCGGCCTTCAACCCATTCTGGTTTTTATTGTTGAGTGTTTAGCTCAGCCAAGCCTGGTCCACGCTCAGACACAGCTCACACTAGCTAAGCAGGGGCAAAGACCTAGCCTAGCCTGTCCTATATTTACCCTGGTCTTCATGAGCACCAGTAGGTGCTGGAGTCTAGCTTGGCCTGGCATACCCCAGACCCAATTCACACTTATGCTACAGGACACTGCAGCCATATCCAGACCAGAACACAGCCCCCACTTTGGCTCCTGCTCTCACCATGGGAACCACAACCCAGCCAGGGCATCTGCTTAGCTCCCCAACCAGGCCTGTCCCCAGCCATAGACCTTGTGTGTGCCACTGGTTCCTCTGACCTAGCTTGACATAGTGCCTCACTTGTCATGGCCTTTGCCTTTGGATGTTGTAGCCTGGCCTGATCTGGCCTGCCCCCAGTCCCACCACTCACTGGCAGGTGCTGAAACCTGGCCTTGCTTGGTCTGCTCCCATCTCTGGCTCATGCAAACTGGTAGGTATGACAGCCTAGCCCAGCATGACCTGCGCTCCAGCCTGGTTTCTGCACTTGCCGGTGAGCTAAGGTTTGCTTGGCCCTGCCTGGTCTGTCCCCTTCCAAAACCAACTCACACATTAGCCAACAGTTAGAGCTACTGGACTACATGGTCAACAGTGGGAGCTGTGACCCACTAGGGGAGTTTTCAACTTTCCCCTGTTTGCTACACCCCCAGATCCAGATCTCACACATGCCAATGGGTATTAGGCTCTTGCTGGGCATAGCCTGCCACTCCCATCTTGGCTTTGTATGAGCTGGTGCATGTTATGGCCTGGCCCACCCCACACCCTGTTCTAGAATGCACATGCAGGTGCTGTAGCCCGTACTCTTCTCAGTCTCTGTAACCGTGAATGACAGCAGGTTCCATGGTCACTCCTAGCTCAGCCCATCACCACCCCAACTCTTGAACTAACCACAGTGGGAGTTATATTTCCACAGTGTTGGGCACACATATACTCCACATAATCTACCTTTGGACCTGGTTCTCTCATGTGCTAGTTAATGTCATGGCCCTGCCTAATGTAACCCTTTCCCTGTTCCAACAGTCAGGTACTGGGATCTAGCCCTGCTAGACAAATCCACAGCCATAGTTTTTGCATGGACTGGCGTGTGGTGGTCAGCAATGTTCCATGCTAACAAGCCCTACTTAGGACTCCATTGCAGCTTGGTGTATCAGTCTGACCCATACAGATCTTCCCATCTGTCCCCTCCAAACTACCAGGTGTCAGTCTCCTTGCTTATCCACAAGTACAGTGGCCCTGTAACTGGGAGTCCTTCAAGCTTCATTCCTCACCTATATGCACAGTGGCCTTACCTATGGATGTCCCTAAGCAGTAATTCCACACCCCCAAGACACCAGAGTTGGCCGCCCACAAGCCCAAGATAGTGGCAGCACACAGAGCCAGGGACTGACCCGAACTCCTGAGAGGTTCCTTCATTGTGCACTTTCCATGAAGGGAGAAAACTCTCTGGCCTAGGCAAGCCCAGGACTTGCTCACTGCTTGGCAGCAATGGCTGGGGCTAGGGCCCAAGCATTGGGTCTGACCTGGCTCAATACCCCCAGCAGCTCCCACACATTAGTGTCTTAAAGGTTCCTTTATTTAAAAGGCAGAGTTATAGAGGAAAAGATCTTCCATCTACTGTGCCATTCCCCAAGTGGCTGCAACAGTCAGGGCTGAGCCTGGCCAAAGCCAGGAGCCAGGAACTCCATCCAGGTCTTCCACATGCATCACAGGGCCTAAGGACTTGAATCATCTTGCAGTGCCTTCCCAAGAGCATCAGCACAGAGCCGTGACTGAAACTTACTCAGGTGATGATACCACATTCCTGCTTCATCACAGTGACCACTGCACTGGAGCCACTCAGTTCTGGGGTAATATTTTTTTTAAAGATTTGTTTTTATTGGAAAGGCAGATGTACAGAGAAGAGGAGAGGCAGAGAGGAAGATCCTCCGTCTGATGATTCACTCCCCAGGTGGCCACAACAGCCAGTGTTGCGCAGATCCTCTGAAGCCAGGAGCCAGAAACTTTTTTCCAGGTCTCCCACGCGGGTGCAGGGTCCCAGTGCTCTGGGCCATCCTCTGCTGCTTTCCCAGGCCACAAGCAGGGAGCTGGATGGGAAGTGGAGCCACCGGGATTAGAACTGGCATCCATATGAGATCCTGGGCGCATTCAAGGCAAGGACCTTAACCACTATGCTATCGCATCAGGCCCTGGAGGGTAAATTTTGCACAGCAGTATTATTATGCATCTACCCACATAATTAGAACAATACACAATGTGTCCAAATGTTAAAAGTGATTAAATCTTGGGGCAGGGTGATGGCTCAGCAGGCTAATCCTCTATTTTGCAGCTCCAGCACCCCATATCAGCCCTGGTTTATATCCTGGATGTCCTGCTTCTCACCCAGTTCCTCACCTGTGGCCTGGGAAAGCAGTGAGGACGGCACAAAGCCATGGGGCCCTGCATATGCATGGAAGAACCAGAAAAAGCTCTTGGCTCTTGGCTTCAGATTGGCTCAACTCCAGCTGTTGTAGCCATTTGTGGAGGGAACCAGCAGGTAGAGAACATCTTTCTCTCTCTCATTCTTTCTGTAAATCTGCCTTTCCAATAAAAATAACATCTTTTTTTTTAATTGCTAAATCTTGAAATAAAAAATTCATAAAAAATAATGCCCAGGCCTGGCATGATGGCCCAATGGCTAAATCTTCCCCCTTGCAAGCGCTGGGATCCCATATGTGCACCAGTTTGTGTTCTGGCTGCTTCACTTCCCAGGCAGCTCCCATTCTGCTTTCCCAGTAGAGGATGGCCAAAGTCTTGGGACCCTGCACCCGTGTGGGAGATCCAGAAGAAGCTCCTGGCTTTGGATCAGCTGGCTCTGTCCATTGTGATCATTTGTGGAATGAACCAACGGACAGATCTGTCTATCCTCTCCATAAATCTGAAATTTCAATAAAAGTAAATATATATAAAAATGCCCACTCTGAAACATAAACATAAACATAAAAAGCAACATATTCATTTGTACCTAGATGTAAATTTAACTAGAATATAGGAACTATAAATTGGGCTCATTCATTCAAATTACAAGTCATTCTGCCTTTGGAGGCATTATTTCGTCTTAAAACTTCCAAACATAGCAAATACAATATATACCACCCATTTTGGAATAGTAGTATTCACAGGAAATTCAATGTTTATTAAAAGAATGGGAAATGCTGTTTATATAACCAAAACAGTCATATTTTGCACTCACTGGCTGTTCAGCAGGCCATTCAGAAATAACTATGGGATTTTTTTTTTTTTTTTTTTTTGCCGCAAGGCAATATCTCATACTTCAGGTCTTGTTATATGTCTGAACTGCAGCCTTCTACCACCCGCCGTGTTCCCATTGTCGCAACAGCACCATTTTAAATCCTCTCCATCTAAGGCAGCACCCCTGAGAACCAGTAGCGGAGCACAGAATCCCACAAGAAGGAACCAAGTGCTTGGGAATACGTGCGAAACTGTAAACCGTTGTCACAGCAACGAGTTCGGGACCACCCACCCGTTCAGGAATCGATGGACTCAGGAGTGAGGAGGCCAGGGGACAGGCGAGGCCTGGCACATGTTCCCTGTAAGTTATGCAGTCCCCCTCCTAAATGGCTCCCGCCGCTTGTTCAGGACACGCCCGGCGCCCCGCCCTCGGCGGCCCCGCCCCGGAAGTGACGCCACGGAAGTAGTAAAACCCCGGCTTGGAGCGAGCCGGCGCGGCGCAGTGTGTGCTGGCTAGTGTCATGGCAGATGAGGAGGAAGATCCCACCGTGAGTGTCCGCGTCTGTCCCCATCTTCCCTTTCCCTGTGGCTCAGTAGCGAGTGTTCGGTCCGGCGAATTCAGGCGAGAGAGTTCGGGCACCAGTTGTGCCTGTCTTTTCCTTGCACACGGGGCAGGAGAGAGTAGTCAGGTTACCCTCTTGCCTTGGGGTGCGGGCTGTGTCTGTCAGACTTAGCGAAATAACCGGAGGGTCCTCAGACCCAGTGCCCCGTGAGCCCACAGTGGGGCTGCTGGCAAAAGGGTACTTTTATTCTAAAGTCGTGGAAAGATAATAAGCCGCGAATCGGGAGCCTGCATCTCAACATCTCCGATTTTCACCCAAGTTACTTAGCTTTCAGCCTCGGCTATTCTTGTCATAAAACAGGTTTAAGATGTAGAGAAGGAGAGTTTTCAGCACTGTATGAGCAGATGCTTGGTTGAATGTTTTGTTTTTACTTTAGGGAGGTGGGCTTTGATTTAGTGTCCGTTCTTTAATGGTGACACTGTTCAACGGTAGATCAACTGAGTTGGTTTCAAACAAAACCTGCGGTCGTTAGAACGCCCGCTTGTCTAGGCAGAATTGTTAGGACCGTTGTAGAAGCCTTTTTTTTTTTTCTTTCTGCTTCCTTTAGACTTTCTGGCCTGATGTCGCTGTTGAATTAAGTTATTAAAATATCAAATGCAATGCAGTCAGCTAATGTTTCTGTTTTAACTTCTAGTTTGAGGAAGAAAATGAAGAAATTGGAGGAGGTGCAGAAGGTGGACAGGGTAAAAGAAAGAGACTTTTTTCCAAAGAATGTAAGTTGTTCTTGACAATGATTTGATGGTAGATTGTGTAAACTTGTACATGGCCTTTGGAACAGATTTCTTACTGTAAAGGTGTTTGCAGGGATGATATTCTCAACATTGCCTATGAAGGTGGGTCTCACCTGGCGTCAGAAGTAGGAAGCCCAGGCTTTCACACAAATTTGACTGTGGTTTAAATGTCACCAGAGATGTGATCAGTGTTTCAGTCAGGGCACAGCCACGTATCTCCCCCTGCACCTTCCCTTCCCAGCAGAAGAGGCAGACACACCTGACTGTTGGGACTGACAGGGTAGGAGCTGCTGGGACGTGACACTGAATGGTGAGGTGACGATCACGTGAGGCATTGCGAAGGCACACAGATGATCTGTATGAATCCTTCATCTGGCTTCCTCTGTGGATGGTGATTTGTTTTATTTATTTTTTTTAGATTTATTTTTATTGCAAAATTAGATATACAGAGAGGAAGATCTTCTATCCATTCACTCCTGAAGTGCCCACAAGGCGTGGAGCTGTGCCGATCTGAAACCAGGAGCCAGGAACTTCCTCCAGGACTCCCACGGCTGGGTGCAGGGTCCCAAGCCTTTGTGCCCTTTTATTTTCTTTTAAAGATTTATTTATTCTGGGCCCCGGCACAGTAGCCTAGCAGCTAAAGTCCTTACTTTGCACACGCCGGTATCCCACATGTGTGCTGATTCTAATCCTGGTCGCCCCACTTCCTATCAGCTCCCTGCTTGTGGCCTGGGAAAGCAGTTGAGGATGGCCCAAAGCTTTGGGACCATATACCCACGTGAGAGACCCGGAGGAGGCTCCTGGCTCCTGACTATGGAACAGTGTACCTCCGGCTATCGCGGCCACTTGGGTAATGAATCAACAGACGGAAGATCCTCCTCTCTGTATATCTAACTTTCCAATATAAATAAAATCTTTTAAGGAATGCAGTAAGTTTTACAGTGGAGAATCCTGGCAGATATCACTTTACCCCAGTGAGCAAAATTTTATGCACTTATAAATTATACATATTTTATAATTTTTTAAAAATTTATAGTCGAAACGGCTTTTTATTGACCGTTGTCTGCACAGATCCTGAAAAATAAAATTTCTTTCCCTACAATCTTTGTCTACTGTATTTGTCACATGTTGAGTTTATTAAACTTTGATACTGCCTCGGTTTCTGCCCATAGCATATCCTCTTGGTTCACGCTAGTGATCCTCTTTCCCGGGGATATGACACACTTCAGAATCTTTTTTTTTCAGATTCATTTTATTTTTATTACAAAGTCAGATATACAGAGAGGAGGAGAGACAGAGAGGAAGATCTCTGTCTGATGATTCACCCCCCAAGTGACCAATACGGCCTGTGCTGTGCCATTCTGAAGCCAGGATCCAGGAACTTCTTCCAGATCTCCCACGTGGGTGCAGGGTCCCAAGCTTTGGGCCGTCCTCAACTGCCTTCCCAAGCCACAAGCAGGGAGCTGGATGGGAAGTAGGAAGTGGAGCTGCCGGGATTACAACTGGTGTCCATGTGGGATCCCGGAGCATTCAAGGTGAGGACTTTAGCCACTAGGCCACTGCGCCGGGCCTATATTTTATAAATTTTGACACACAGTATCAGAATATGTATTGATATCATATGCCCCTGGTAAGATGCGATAAGAGAACAACTTAGGGCCCGGCGCGGTGGCGCAAGTGGTTAAAGGTCCTCGCCTTGCACGCCTGGGATCCCATATGGGCGCCGGTTCTAATCCTGGCAGCCCCGCTTCCCTTCCAGCTCCCTGCCTGTGGCCTGGGAAAGCAGTCGAGGATGGCCCAAAGCTTTGGGACCCTGCACCCGCGTGGCAGACCCGGAAGAGGCTCCTGGCTTCGGATCAGCATAGTATCGGCCCGTTGCGCTCACTTGGGGAGTGAATCATCGGACGGAAGATCTTCCTCTCTGTCTCTCCTCTCTGTATATCCGCCTTTCCAATGAAAAAATAATAAAAATATAAATCTTTAAAAAAAAAAAAAAGAGAGCAACTTAAATCACCTCTTGGTGTACTTTCTAGTAAGGTGTATCCTCGTCTAGTCATGAGAAAGCATCAGGGTCTTGAGGGACATCCTACAAATCCAGTGTTTTTCAAAAATGTCAAGATCTTGAAAAACATAAAAAGACTGAGGAACTGTCATGGATCACAAGAAGCTAAGTAAACGTGAGGATTAGATAGTGTGGGATCCTGGAACAGAAAAAGAATGTTAGTAGGAAAACGGATACACCCTGAATAAGAGCTGCGCATGTACCAATGCTATTGTTTTAGTTTCGGTGAATGTCTATGATTATATAAAATGTTCTCATAAGGGGAAGCCGGATATAGGGCATATGGGAACTCTGAACTATTTTTGCAACTGATCTGCAAAATTAAAAACAGAAAAATTACAAAATTCAAAAATGGAAAAATTCTAGCTCTCATATTTTCTCCCTCTTATATCTGCACCTAAAAGTTCTTGCCAGTGTAAACCCTAAGGCTATCTTTATCCCTGCTTGGCTAAAGCTTTCCCCCTTCTTTCCTTTCCCCAGGCCTGCTCTCAATTCTTTACTTCTTGCAGTTTTTACCTCTTCTAAGTAGGAAGTATTCTTCATGTACTTATTCTTGCCTCTGAGATATTCTAGGAACTGCTTCTTTAACAAAATTTACATATAATGAATCACATGAGTCTTGACAACTTGAAGGGTTTTATTTGAATATTTTCATAGGCATGCTTCTAATGAACACTCAGATCAAGATCAAAAACCTTTCCAGTATTTTTAATTTTTAAATTTTTTATTTATTTGAAAGGCACAGAGAGAGACTTCCCATCTACAGGTTCACTTCCCAGATGCCTGCCACAGATGAGGTTGTACCAGGCCAAAGCCAGGAAGGGGCATGGGCTTTCCACGTGGGTGCAGGGAGCAAGGTTTCCCAGCCGCCGTCACCTGTTGCCTCCCAGGGTACACATCAGCGGAAAGCTGTATGAGAAGCTGAGTGGGGATTAGAACCGAAGTTTTGCTGTAGGAATGTGGATATACCACTGACCGCTCTGATGACTTGGCAGCATTTTTTTTTTTAAAGACTTATTTTTATTATTATTATTTTTTCATTGGAAAGGCGGATATACAGAGAGGAGATACAGAGAGGAAGATCTTCCATCCGATGATTCGCTCCCCAAGTGAGCGCAACGACTATGCCGATCCGAAGCCAGGAGCCTCTTCCGGGTCTCCCACGTGGGTGCAGGGTCCCAAAGCTTTGGGCCATCCTCAACTGCTTTCCCAGGCCACAGGCAGGGAGCTGGAAGGGAAGCGGGGCTGCCAGGATTAGAACCGGCGCCCATATGGGATCCCGGGCGTGCAAGGCGAGGACTTAACCACTGCACCACACCGGGCCCGACTTAGCAGCATTTTTAAACGTTTGCATAAGCTTTGAGACTCATATGGAAGTTATAATTTTTCCCAGAAAAATGTGCATCTTTGTATAGATAATGTATGCTTTTTTTTTTTTTTAGAATTTCAGGGGCATTTCAAGGACTTCTTTTTTTTTTTATATTGAAAAACATATATTTAGAATTAGAGAGCTGGATGCAATTAAGATGATCCCAATTTTGTTGGCAACATCCAGAGCATCATAATCAGGAGCCAACTGCACGTACGCCACCTTTTCTCCATTGGGCCTGATCAGGGTATTGACTTTGGCCACATCAATGTCATAGAGCTTCTTCACGGCTTGTTTGATCTGGTGCTTGTTGGCCTTGACATCCGCAATGAACACCAGTGTGGTGTTGTCTTCTGTCTTCTTCATAGCGGACTCTGTGGTCAGGTTGTAGGTGACAGATTGGGAAAAAGAGTATAAATATTAGGAAGGAAGGAAAGGTTTGTTGGAGGCTGAATGGGAAGAATCAGTCGTAAGACTATGGGTAAAACCTTTTCTACCAAATCTGCACTTGGATACTACAAAGACATGTAAATGTTTTTAAACCAATATTGGCTATAACTTGAAACAGTTCTAGTTTATTTGAAAAAGCTATTATTAGCAAACTGTAAAATCTGCTTGAGTAGACAAAGGTGGTTGTTCTTTTTCAGTGCGATGTATGATGTATGGTTTTGGGGATGATCAGAATCCTTATACTGAGTCCGTGGATATTCTTGAAGACCTTGTCATAGAGTTCATCACTGAAATGGTAAGAATGTTTTGTCCATTAACAGGGAGCTGGATTGGAAGTGGAACAGCGGGGACACTAACTTGCCAGAACATACAGGATGCTGGTGTTACAGAGGGTGGTTTTATTCACGATACCAAGCACTGGCCTGGTGTTCTTTCTACCCTGTTTTATATACATATTTCTTGTATTCTAATCATAATTATTGTAGTAGTTACATATTAGTCATTCAGATGTTTCCTAATTTATTTAATAATATCCTTATTGTAGAAATTAACTTACAGATGATTTTTCTGTTAATCACTGATTTTGAATGCCCATATTCATGAAATTTTTCCCTTTGTTAAAAAAGATTATTTGTCTAAAAGAGTGACAGAGAAGGGTCCAGGGAGAGATTTCTATCCTCTAATTCAGTCCCCGAAGGGCCAGCAGGACTAGGCCAAGCTGAGTCAAGAGCCAGAAGTTCCATTATGATCTCCAACTCAGGTCAGAACCCAAGAACTTGAACCATCTTCCACTAGCTCTCCAGGCACATTAGCAGACAGTTCAATCTGAAGCAGAGCAGTGGGGATTCGAGCCCACTGCTCTATTGTGGGATGGCACAGGTGGCTTAACACAGTGCTAGCTGTCCCCCCTTTTTTGGATATATTCTCAGGGTTTGATTGTTTTGTCCTTAAAAACTTTTCATTCTGGGCCCAGCATGCTAGCCTAGTGGCTAAAGTTCTCACCTTGAATGTGCCAGTGTCCCATATGGATGCTGATTCATATACTGGCTGCTCTATCCCCCTACTTGTGACTTGGGAAAGCAGTAGAGGATGGTCCAAAGTTTGAGGACCCTGCAGCCATGTGGGAGACCTGGAAGAGGCTTCTTTCTGGCTCCTGGCTTTGGATTGGCTCAGCTTTGTTGTGGCCACTTGGGGAGTGAACCAGCAGTAGAAAATCTTTCTGTCTCTCCTCTCTATAAATCTGGCTTCCCGATAAAAATTTTAAAAACTTTCGTTTTATGTTTTGTATTTTTTCTTAATATAGAATAGCAAAAAATTAGAGTGTGTACCTAAATTATTTTTTTGGAATTACAAAAGTAATTGATACTATAATTTAGAATGTATAAAAAAGCACAGGGAAAAAGTATATAGTTCTGCCATTTAACAACTAATATTAACATTAGTTCATATAATTTTGTCTTGCACATATTTAAACATTTTTATAAAATTATATAAAAATTTTGTAAATGATAAAAATTATATAAAATATACCATTCTTAGAACTTACTCTTTTTTTTTTTTTTAAAGATTTATTCATTTTTATTACAAAGTCAGATATACAGAGAGGAAAGACAGAGAGGAAGATCTTCCGTCCAATGATTCACTCCCCAAGTGAGCCACGATGGCTGGTACTGCGCCAATCTGAAGCCGGGAACCAGGAACTTCTTCCTGGTCTCCCACGTGGGTGCAGGGTCCCAAGGCATTGGGCCATCCTTGACTTTTCCCAGGCCACAAGCAGGGAGCTGAATGGGAAGTGGGGCTGCCTGGATTAGAACCAGCGCCCATATGGGATCCCAGGGAGTTCAAGGTGAGGACTCTAGCCGCTAGTCCATGCTGCCGGGCCCTCTTAAAACTTACTCTTTATGTTAGGTAAAACTAAACTACGTCCCCTTGTAATTATATAATCTGTAACATATCAATGACCTCATACAATGAATTGAATGGGTTACTCAAATTTATGAACTCAATACATTATTATTAAATGTGTAGTTTCTAATTTTATATTTTCTGTGTTATAGGCATTGGAAATGATGCTATGATAAACCTTTGTTTTTTTTGTACAAGATGGGCATGTGATAATAGAAGATAAAGGTTTTTTTTTTTAATGTGATCGTAAGAACACCCACCAGTATGGGCTGGCAAGATGGAGAACTTAAAGTATAAAAAGAAATGGATGGTTACAAAGAAAGAAGAAAATTACTTCATACAAATAAAAGCAAAAACTGCACATATCAAAAAACAAAAATTAGTATTTTCATCGTTTTAATTTTCTTATGATTAAAAATTGTGCCTGTACACCACAAAGAGAAACATTGCCAAAAACTCAGTAGAAAATGGACAAATGAATAGCCATAATGATTAGAAGATTAGATTAAAATAGTAAAATAATAGATTTCATTTAATTTCAATCTGTTTCTTTGTAATAGACTCACAAGGCAATGTCGATTGGAAGACAAGGTCGAGTCCAAGTTGAAGATATTGTCTTTTTGATTCGAAAGGACCCAAGGAAGTTTGCTCGGGTTAAGGACTTACTTACTATGAACGAAGAATTGAAACGAGCTAGAAAAGCATTTGATGAAGCAAACTACGGATCATGACACCTTTCGTGCTTTCTCAAATGTCATTATCTGGGGAAACATATGTAATGGCAAATTTTCTACAGAAATGTCCTGCTATCTAGGCATGTAGATGAAAGATAGAGAAATTAAGTTTTCAGCATTTATTTTTATGCCTTCAATTTTAGAATACTAGAGACCTTAATTGTTGCCTTTATATATCTATATCTGAATTACTTATTGCATTTTAATGACTATACTAATAAGTTAAAGTACCTTGCAGATCATGCAGTTCTTTCTGACTTTGGACTACATAGATGAAGTAGTATTTATGTGTAGGTTATAATTGTGCCATTGTAAGCAATATTGTTGCTATTTAATATATGAAACCTAAGTGACATCTTTGACTATAATACCTGAAATAGTGCTTCAAGTAGTCTGAAGTTTTTAGACAGTAGTAGTTTAAGAGGTTATTAATAATAATGAACTGGCATTTGTTTTAGGATAATATAGGAAAATATAGTTTTGTAAGAATTTTGTCTTAAAATATGATTTGTTTTTAACATTGTTCAGATAAGTGTTTTGTTTTTTTTGAAAAACAAAGTTTCGTGTAAGTGCTTTTGTATTGAAAGATTTTTTTTTTAATTTAAAAACTTTCATGGCTTGTAACATGCTGTATGTGAAGATTTAGAAGAATCTATTTGCCCAGATCAGCTTAAGCTTCTAAAAATAAATACATTGAGTAGCAGGAATGGGATTGCTTAAAAAGCTTATGGCAGGATTAGCATTTGAAATAGTGTTTTATTAACATTTGTACATACTTGTCCATTGTGAAATGTGTATTTGACTAAAACCATGTGTGGCAGTGGAAACCCCTTTTGTAGTTCAGAAATACCAATTTTGTGTTTCATTTATTGTATCAAATTACTGCTCTTAGCTTGAAATAAGGGTTGAAATTACATTTAAGGAGATTACTGAGTGTGATTCTGTGAAGCTGAACTTTTTGTGTGCTGCTTATAAGTGTTCTCTATCCTTGGGGAACAATTTTACTTTCTTAATCTATTTGAATGAGTAATGAAAAAATAAACAGATTAATGCTTGAGGTTGTGACTTGTAACTTTACTTTTTTTTTACCATATAAGGAATGAGATATGAAAAATAAACAGATAGAAGCTTGAATTTATCTGTGGTTTATAACTTTTCAATATTATGCCCATTACTGGTGATATAACTACCTAATTAATCCCCTTGAGATTTTTCTGTGTCTTCTTACAGTACATTTAAATTGATAATTAAAATCACTCTATAGCTGAGTTTATAATATTGCTTTTTTATTTTTAAGACAGAAATGAACACCACAAAATTAGAAAACCCAATCTAGACTAAAATTATAATGGGAAGGATTAATAAAAGATCAGAATGATTATTTTTGCTGATCAGGGTCTGCTTTATTCTAAAAAAGGAACTGGCAGGTAGTGACAGGCATGGGCCAAGCTTTGGAGAATGTCTTTAGTCTCATGCTCTGTGAAGGGGTGTGATTAAGACCACGGCTAGAATTGTGTCTTGGGTATTGTGAGCGTCTTACTCCTCTGTTAGGACCCTCAAGCAGAAAGCTTTTATGGAGCTTTGTGTTAAAACTTTCTAAGGTTGTAAGTAATAGAATGAAGGCTAACAAAAGCCCAAAAGGAGTTTAGTGGTTTAACTAAATGAAACATGAGAAAGAAGGGATGCACTCCTCAAGCACTTGAGGAAAACCAAGACTGCCTTTTATCCTGATTTTGTTTTTATCCCTTAGGATGGCAAAGGAACATAGTAACCAGCAGTCGAGCAATTGTAGAGCTTCACCCTTATGTCTCCAGTCTGAGAGGACTATTTCTCTTCTAATATAAACAATCCTGGCTCTGGTCACTTTTTCTTGTTGTTGTTGTTGTTATTGCAGAGGGGCAAAAAGCAGTGACCTGTGAGCAGAAAAAAATTACACTGCATCCTGGATCTTCTGTCCCACTTCTGTGGCGACAAAGGGACTGTGATGAGTTTGTCAACAGAGAACTGGATACTGCCATTATCAAGGAGGAGAAAGGGAAGCTGAACAAGATAAAAATGGCAGATGTACCCAGGCTTGGTTCATGAGCCTGCTTACCAACTGAATTGTGATAGTGTGACAGCCTGGCTGCTTTGCCATATCCAGAGCTGCACTGTGTCATACAGTCACCTTAGCTACATGTGGCCGTTTAAGTTAAAATTCAGCTCCTCAGTTACACCTGATATACTTCAAGTGTCCAGTGGCCTTGTAGTTAGTGGCTGCTGCCTCGGATTGTCATGATACAAGGTAATTTTCATTCTCCCAGAATATTTGGATGGTTCTGGTCAAGAATATGCAGGTGCCTTCTCCTAAGTTAATCCATTTTTTAAACTTACTGTTCAAAATTGTAGGTATATACAATAGTAGCATAATAGCTAATAGCCTCCAGTTTCAACAAGTAACTTTCTCCCTTTTCCCCCCACCCTTTGCCAGGGGAAAGAACAATTTTATTATTTTATTTGAAAGATTTGTTCACTTAATTTCAAAGACTGGGAGAAAGGGAAGGGCAGAGAAAAGACAATTTGTTGGGGCCCAGCGGTGTGGCCTAGCAGCTAAAGTCCTCGTCTTGAACACGCCAGGATCCCATATGGGCGCCAGTTCTAATCCCGGCAGCTCCACTTCCCATCCAGCTCTCTGCCTGTGGCCTGGGAAAGCAGTCAAGGACGGCCCAATGTTTTGGGATCCTGCACCCGTGTGGGAGACCAGGAAGAAGCTCCTGGTTCCCGGCTTCAGATTGGCGCAGTACCGGCCGTTGCGGTCACTTGGGGAGTGAATCATTGGACAGAAGATCTTCCTCTCTGTCTCTTCTCTTTGTATATCTGACTTTGTAATAAAATAAATACATCTTTAAAAAAAAAAAAGACAATTTGTTGGCTCACATCCCAGGTGGCCATGATGGAGAGGCTAGGCTGGGCTGAAGTTAGGAGCCCAGAGCTCTTCAGTTTTTCTATGTGGGTTGCAGGGGCCCGAATACTAGGGACATCTTCTATTGCTTTTCCCAAGCTCATTAACGAGAAGCTGGATTGGAAATAGAGCACTTGGGACTTAAACTGGTGCTCATATGATATGCTGACATTATAAGATGGCTCAACCCCTGTGCTACAACTGGATCCTACAACAGCACTGTTTTAAGGCAAAAGCTAGATATTATCATCATGTTCATTATAGGAGTTGGCACCTTGGCTCCTGCTTGTGGCCCCAGCATCCTGTATGCATATGGGCTATGGTTTGAGTCCCAGCTGTTTCACTTGCAATGCAGATCCCTGCTAATGACCTAGGAAAGCAACAGAGGATGCCCATGTAATGCATGGGCCATTGCACTCCAATGGAAGACCTGGGAGAAGCTATTGGTTTTTGACTTTGGATGGGCTCAGCTTCAGCTGTTAGGGCCATTTACAGAGTCAACTAGTGGATGAAATATCTCTGTTTCTTCTCTAACTCTGCCTTTCAAATAAAAATAAATACATCTTTTAAAAAATCCTTCAGTATATATTTCTGTTTTTTTTTTTTTAAGATGTGTTTATTTTTATTGAAAGGTGGATATACCTAAAGGAGGAGAGACAGAGAGGAAGATCCTCCGTCCAATGGCTCACTCTCCAAGTGACTACAATGGCTGGAGCTGAGCCAATCCGAAGCCAGAAGCCAGGAGCTCTTCTAGGTCTTCCACGTGGGTGCAGGGTCCCAAGGCTTTGGGCTGTCCTCAACTGCTTTGCTAGGCCACAAGCAAGGAGTTGGATGGGAAGCAGGACCATATGGGATCCCGGGTGTGCAAAGCGAGGACTTTAACCACTACGTTATCACGCCTGGCCTTCAGTACGTATTTCAAACAAAAGCTTGGAAAGGTAGCCTAAATACTATCGGCATACCAGATCAAGAATTAACGTTAATTCCTCAGTAATCTACTATGCAATGCCTGTTCAGATCTCCCTGATTTGTCTCAGCATCTCCTTTGAGTTTGTGGTTTTTTTGGATGCTGCTGTAACAAATACTGCTTTTTTTTTTTTTTGCTTTGAAATTTATTAGGACTGGCATGTGGCTGGAGTCTTCCCTTCAGGTGCAGGGTCCCAAGGCTTTTGGGCCATTCTCCATTGCTTTCCCAGTCCATATGCAGGGAGCTGGATGGGAAGTTGAGCTGCCAGGACTCACTCCATTGCCCGTATGGGATGCTGGTGCTTTTAGGTGGAGGATTAGACTTTGAGCCACTTTACTGGCCCTAATTACAACAACTGTTTAAAAGATTTAATTTTTATTGGAAAGTCAGATATACAGAGATCTTCCATCCACTAATTCACTGTGCCAAGCGGCTGCAATGGCTAGAGCTGTGCCATTTCGAAGCCAGGAGCCTGCAACCTATTCTGGGTCTCCCGCGCAGGTGCAGGGGGTGAAGACTTTGGGGTCATCCTCTACTGTTTTTCCAAGCCACAAGCAGGAAGCTAGAAGGGAAGCGAGGCCTCTGGGATTAGAATTGGGGCCCATATGGCGTGTGCAAAGCAAGGACTGAGCTGCTAGGCTACCACACTGGGTCCAATAAATATTTTTTTAAAAAGAAAATTATCTTACCAGTTCTCTAGGTTGGAAGTCTGAGACAGGCTTCACTGGGTCGAAATGAAGGTGTTGACAAGCTTGTGGTCCTTTCCGCATGTCTAAGAAACCACTTGTTCCTTTCAGCTTCTGTAGGCTATATTCTTTGGTTTCTGGTTTCACCTGTTCAAAGTTAGCAATGTTTTATCTCTGACTTTCTGTAGTTGTATCTCCCTCTATCCCCAGCTGGGTAGGATTCTCTGTAGTTCTATTGGATTCACCTGGATAACCCAGGCCGCTCCCATTTCAAGGCTCTTAATCGGACCAGCAAAGTCTCATGTCAACTGCTGCATTCAGAGGTTATGCACAGCTTCGAGGGACTGTTATTCTGCCTACCAGAGTTTGAAAACGGATGCAAACAAGGTATCACCCATTGCATTTTTGTGGAATATTTGATCTGTGATAGTTCCTTTCCCAGATTTAGTGAAGCAGTCTCTCCCTCATAAAAGATTCATTTAATTTCATTGGAAGGGCAGATTTAGAGAGGAGAAAGAGACAAAATAAATTTTTCAGCTACTTGTTCACTCCCCAAATGACTACATTGGACCTGAGCTGATCCAAGGCTAGGAGCTTCTTCCGGGTCTCCTACATGAGTGCAGTGTCCCAAGGTTTTGGGCCATCCTTGACTGCTTTCTCAGGCCATAAGCACGGAGCTGGATGGGAAGTGCAGCAGCCTAGGTACATACAAATTGGTGCCCATTTGGGATACTGGTGCCTGGAGGTGAGTCATTGCCCCAGCTCCTGAAGCTCTCACTCTTAAAAAAATTATACCTTTTAATTTTTAGCTTGCATGATTATTAGATGCTCAGAGCATCTAATACTGTATCTATGATTGCACTCAAAATAGTTAGTTTCACTGTAAACTGATGTTCTTGAGTAAAAACCATAATATGAACTGTCAGTGTAGAAGTTTCTAAATGGAGGAAATGGCTCACTTGGCCTCTCATCAACAGAGGTGTTGCCTGGAGAGTCAGTTGAACATTTTCCAAGAGGCTTCAAGAGGTTGCATTACTAGGGTGAATGTGTTTCCAGTTTGTTTTGCAGCATTGCAGCCTCAGAATCTGATTCTGTCAGCAAATGGAGAGTGTGTGCGTCTCTTGTGGACACAGGGAAACCAAACTCCAAAGGCCAATGAATGCAAAAGGATACCAATTTGTAGACGTAAGTAAACTTCTTCACCTGTATGGCCTGCACATTCTTTCCTCTCTAGTCAGATAAGTAAAAGTCGTAACAGTTGAGGCTGATTCAGAATGAGCTGCATTATGTTTTACACTTGATCTTGGCCAAAAGGCTGAGAAGCGTTGAGCTGCATTATGTTTACATGAGTGATTATTCCGAGCACTCGGTAAGATAGGATACGGTTCATGCAGGCAAAGAAAAATGGCTAAAGCACTCCAGAGGGGCAGAGTGCCCTGGGGAACCCCAGGATAGTCCAAAGT